AACATAAGAATACTTCTTGTGGGAAACTGTTTTTTCATTCAGAAGAAAAATGTGATAAAATGGGACAAAGGTGGACATTAGAGGGGCACCAGAAAGAAATATTGAATATAGAAATGAAACTGGCTGTAATGAAATATGAGAATGATGTTGGAAGATAGAAATGATCAGATAAAAGGGAGAGGAGCCTGCAACTGATTATTGGGCAGAGACAGAAACTTTCAAAGAAACCACCCTAATTTATCAAGAGGTAAAAATATATAGCAGGAGATGTGTACTTTCAGACTTACAAAATTCTGTTAATGTAGTCTTACAATAAATAGAATTAGTTTATCTTGCTTTGTTTCCTGTTTGATCTGCTTGGGAGACTGACACTGGCTGATGTTTTGATAACTAAAAAGGACATACAAATAATAGACTAGAAGAGTGTCTTAGATAACCTTTCTATACTGGATTTACAAAAGGGATTTCTTAATGTTGTCAGAAGAGACAAAGAAAAAATGACAAATCAAATGGTTGGATACTATATGAAGGGACTAAAGATTAAATTTTTTGAGAGCAATAGGAAGGAATATAAAGTTGGTTTATTTGACCAAAGTTGAAATAGATAGGTTGCTAATTTTTAATGGACTTTTTCTGACCAGAACTGGATTATGGTGTTTTAAAGTTTTGTTTAAAGATACAGTTTATATATAATAGGATAGAAAAATGTTTGAGATTCCCTGAAACGATATTAACAGAGGATCGTGTAGCTCAGGGACAGCAGGGCATTTTCAATAACGTACTTTCATTGAAGTATTTCTTTTTATCTATCCTTTCATTCAGCATCATTGGAAGAACTTGCTTTCTACCATCATGTGATAAGAATATCTTTATTGATTACTCCATGCTATACATAATTTTAAATATACTGGCTTTCTTCTCTTATTTTTTTTAAATCTAAAAAGCCTCCAGTTGCAACTTTTTATTATAATGAAGTTGATCTAGTCATAGAAAATTTTGCCTGCCCTTCAATATTTTTCAGTTATTATTCTTTTTTAGAGTATGGCAATGCCATAGAAAACTAATATAATAATATTGCAGATCTATATTTTATTCTGTCCAATATAAAATGAACATTTGGGTAGCAGTTGCTCATTGTTCCTATATTTTTATCAAATTATCACAATATCAAGATCCCTTTTCTGATCAGTCACCATAGCTCAAATTTTATGATCATAACCATAGCTCAAATTTTATGATCATAAATGTACATCAGCCCTCCAAAATAGATCAAACTTAGAAACCAAACACACACAAGCTACTATTAGTTTTATTATAAGGTTATAATAAAAGAAAATGCAAATCTGAAAACGCTTCCCATCTCTTCACTTTATCTTCATGAGAACTTTGAGAGACATTTTCTCAAATTACATTTCTGCCCCAGAGTTAAGATTTATTTTGACCGTTATCTCGATTCCTGTTCTTCCTCCTGTTTCACAAGATTATTCCTTCCGTCCATTACATTGTGAGGTTTTCCATTTTTTAACGTAACAGATATACAGTAATTTCATACTTGCTTATACTGATTTATATTTAACCATATTAATGCCAAGTTCCTCAATATGAGGAAAAGTTCATAGAAACGTAGAATTGGAAAGAGCCATTTAGAAAATCCAATATTTTTGAAGTCTTTTTTCCCCCCTTTTAATCACTCTAATTATATCGGGGCTATCAGCAAACTTGAATACCTCACAGTTTACCAAAAGAAGAAAAGTATTGATGTTAATGCCAGTTTAGGGGAGGGGGGAATCCTACTGTTTACTTTATTCAGTTGAAAGAGTTATACATTTATTTATGCTATTTGTTCTGAAATGAGTTACTTATTTAATACTTTTCTTATACTACAGTTGTTAAGGTTTGGGATATATTTGAAGATAGCACTGATTGTTGACCAATGTGTCTGACAGCTTGCCGTAGACACATAATGTAAGGGTTTGTGGATAGTAGGCTAAAATGCATCGAGGAAAGGTATCTATATTAGCCCCAGATAAGATTTTGATTATAACAGGATTTATTTATGGCAACTGTTACAATTACTGCAGAACTAGGGCATTGCTCAGCGATCTTTCTTCCTCCTTTCCAATTGTCTGTACCCTGTGTGCCATAATGAAGAGGTCTAGGACTTTGCCTGAATGAGAAGATGATGCTTCTGTTGCTATGGTTCCCGTTGCTTGGTGGCAATTGGCTGCTGAGAAAATCATAATGCTGGGTCAGTGAGGCAAGGTAGGAAAGTGACCCAGAATGCTTTTCAAGGAATAAGTGGAAATCACTGCAAAGACAATAGCAACAAAGCTATGCATGGTCTGTTGGGGATAATGGGTAAATTGTTGGGTTAGGAAGCTATGCCTTGAGTCTGAGCAGTGTCTGTTATTGGCCTCCTAAGATCAGGTTCATTTCAGTGTACTGAACTAGTTCCAGTCATACTGTATCTTAAATATAAATATATGAAGAGTTATCCAAACTCTTAAACAATATGCGGTTTATGTCTAGTGCAATCTGCTTGATTTTTGAGAAAAAAAAAATCTATCCTGTGTTTTTGAATTCTAAGTAAAGCTTCAGGTAACAAGAACATTACCCAACAGCTGAAGTCTTAATCTATCATACGTTTAGTATTCAGAAAGTTAATGCTGTCCCAGTGGTATTTGTGTGCAGAAGAAACCTCACTCTGTTGCTTAGAGAATCTGCCTTGTGTGCTGTATTGCTATAAGATATAATGTTACATGCTTACTGTCTCTGCCCTTGGTCCAAGAATAGCACAATATTACAGACCTCCTATGACTCCCCTTTCTGTATCCATCTCCTAAGTCAAAGGACTGAACACAAGGAATCCTTGTCAGGCTAAATCCATAAAGCTGATGTGATAATTGTATAGCATTTATTATTAGTGGTAACATACTGCTGTTGCTAGTTCTATGATAACTTGCTTCCCCTGTTAAAATGTAAAGGAATATTAAGGCTATCAGCTTAGAAACATACAAATTATAGATTTGAGCATTGCAGCGTGTGGGGTCTACAGGCAGCGATATAAATTTGAAAAATAAAAATAAATTACTATTGCTGCCTACTTTGCTTAAATGACGAGGAAGCCTGGGAGAAATGCAGTCATTGAACATCAGCACATATATGTTAAGATACTCATTTTGTTTTGTATCACTTTCAATTTTGAATTTCATCTACCTTTTTATCTGGTCTGAAGGTGCCATTCTGGAATCTTGCAGAATTGTTTTGAATCACAGTAAATAATTTGTTGTTTGTTCGTTTATTCCAATTATATAGCCACCCATCTTGCACAAGTGACTCTGAATGAAAAAAGAAATAAAAACATAAATTTAATCATAACAATAGAAAACAAAAATAAACATAAATAAAGAATGGTCAAGACCATCAACAATAATAACAATATCTCATAGTTTATTAAAATCCTGACCCCCCCCCATGTCTGGAAGAATAGCCTTAAGGGCCTTCTGAAATCCAGCGTTGTCAGGACTAATTGTATCATCTCTGTTTACCTGTATGCATGCATTAAATAGTAGTGATCCAGTTTTGCTTTTTATATCTGGTTTTATTCTTTGGAGACTCTAAGATATTATTACCTAAGTAGTTAAAACCTGTATCTGACTACTAGTTCTTTATTTATAGGGGCTCACTATGAAAATAAATTACGCATAGACACACACACACTATATGTATGTATGTATGTATGTATGTATGTATGTATGTATGTATGTAAGTTAGTAATATGGTGTGGTATGGTATGGTATTGTATTGTATATGTATGTATGTGTGTATGTACAGGTAGTCTTCAGTGTACAACTACGAGCCCAAATTTTCTGTTGCTAAGCAGGGCAGTTAAGTGCGTTTTGCCCCATTTTAAAATATTTTTTGCCACAGTTGTTAAGTGAATTGCTACAGTTATTAAGTGACTCATGTATTCGTTAAGAGAATCTGGCTTCCCCATATTGACTTTGCTTGTCAGAGGCCAACTGGGAAGGTTACAGATGGTGATCTCATGACCCTGGGAGGGTGCAGCTGCCATAAATAGATGTCATTTGCCAAATTTTGATTGCATGTCCATGGGGATGCTGCAACAGTCATAAGTGTGAAAAACAGTCGTAAGTCATTTTTTTCAGTGCCGTTGTAACTTCAAACAGTCACTAAACAAAGGGTTATAAGTTAAGGACTACCTGTATGTATCTCCTGAAGGATGGCAGATTGCTCTTTCATGTGGATCTGGGAAACAAAAGAATATTTTATGTCGTTGAATGAGGTGTTGCATTTAGTTGAAAAAGCTTAATTTTTCAGATTTTCCATAGTGATAGTGATATGTCTACTGCACTGTAGTTTGTGCTTAACCATTGTAAAACAAGTTGATTTTAAAATGGAGATAGAATGGATAGGAGAGATATCTAAAGGTTTAAACTTTATAATTCATTATGAAGAAAAATATTAAGGCAAGGGAGGTGTTTCCCTCCCTTTGCCACTCACCTCTCTTTTTATGCCCTCTTTCCCCATTTTGTTACAAACCTCCTTTATTTGGTTCAGTATCAATTTCTTTTTTCCCCCAGTATATATCAAGTTATAACAAATATTTTCCACTCCAGATTATGGTTTTCCACAGTAAGTAATCTCATGTAGCCAAGTTTCTTCTGAGAATCTGAATTTTTTTAGATGTCCTTGCTTATATAAATCATTGGTGTTTACATTATTTTCTGATTACAACAATATGCTCCCTCTACCGATGCAAAGATGAAAGAACAAAGATGGTATCTGTGTTGTAAAATTGAACTTTTATTCAAAATTTATCTGAAGCCTGGTCAACAGAAACAAGTCTCTAGACAACTGTCCTTTTGAGCCCCCTATCCTATGGAGAGGTTTTATGTTTTGGGTTTGATTCATTACCATCCTAGGTTGTTTGAAAATGTAGAAAATGCTGAATCATTTATTGTTTCCTGCTTTTTTAGGCACTGCACCAGCTATATTATGACCCCAACATTGAAAACAAGAACCTGGCCCAGAAATGGCTGATGCAAGCTCAAGTATCACCACAAGCTTGGCACTTCAGCTGGTTGCTTCTTGATATGGACAAGGTGCCTGAGATCCAATACTTTGGGGCCAGTGCCCTCCACATTAAGATTTCACGCTACTGGAATGACATCCCTGCTGACCAGTATGAGAGCCTTAAATCACAGCTCTTCAGTCACATAACTCATTTTGCTAGTGGTTCCAAAATTGTGCTGACCCGCCTTTGTGTGGCATTGGCTTCATTAGCACTGAACATGATGCCAGAGGCTTGGCCATGTGCTATTGCTGACATGGTACGCATGTTTCAGGCAGAGGACTCTAATGTGGATGGGCGAGCCCGCTGCCTTGCACTACTGGAACTACTGACAGTGCTGCCTGAGGAATTTCAAACCAGCCGTCTGCCTCAGTACCGTAAGGGGCAGGTACGTAGTGTCTTGTCACAGGAGTGCACATCTGTGTTCCCTCTGCTAGAACAATTGTTGCAACAGCAAGACTCTCCTGGTTTCATTAAGCAGAAGGTGCTGAAGTGTTTCTCCAGCTGGGTGCAACTAGAAATTCCTCTGATGGAATGTGAGAACTTGATCCAAGCATCTTTCACTTCTCTGCATGATCCAGAACTCTTCGACATTGCTGTGGAGGCTATTGTCAATGCCATTTCCCAGCCTGATGCTCAGAGGTAAGTATAGTTTCACCTTATGAGCCAGATATGGTTTTAAAAGTTTACAACGTTAGATATAAACTATTTATTTCCATACGGAGTGATCCAGTAATGAAATCTTGGTAAGAATAAAGAATTTTATTTGAGCAACCCTCAAATAAAGCAAGCATTATCTTCTTTGTCACCTTTCTTTTCATTAAACAGTATTTTATAAAAAAAAACCCACCTCTAGCGCTTTTATTTAAGTGAGAAGTATCAGTAATTAGTCTCCTCTGAAACAGATTTAACTAGTAAGCATCAAAAACACACCACAGCTATAGTTAATCTATAAGATTACCTGTTGCTTGTTTTTTGATAGGGGCACTATCATTATATAACCTCCAGCAAGGTTTACTGCTGGTTTGATCTCTGTTTTTAGAAAGATTTTTAACTTATACCTATGGTATAGTATTTTCAAGTATTACTGCTTGAAGTTTTATTGCTTTGAACAATGTGGGGAAAATTTAGAAAACACTGGAAGAGGTGAGATATTATTTGGAAAAAAAAAAGAATTATTCAGTTTGTCTTTGCTTAGATTCACTATTGTCCATAATTCAGTAATCCATTTAAGAAGATATATGAATTATATTAATAGAGAATTTGAGAATTATGTCCATTTCAAAATGTGAACATGGTTAATGAGATTTCATCTGTTGTGATTATAGTTGTGGTTTTATGAGAAAATATAATATGCAACTAGGAACATTGGAAGATTTAATCAGCAGATGAAACTATGTATAAACCTTGACTTACAATCAGAATTGATTCTGGAATTATGGTAGTCATTGTGTGTTAAGTCGAGGTATTATATGACAGGATTCAAAGTTATGACCGTTTTTAGAAGGGTCATTAAGCGAATGCCATGGTCATTAAGCAAACTAGCAGTGTTAAATCCATTTTCATCAATGGGCATATTTTGCTGCAAACTAAAAGTAAATGCCAGAAACAGTCAATAACGGCACAAGCTTAAGGCACGTGACTGCAGGTCACTACAAATGGCTATAAAGGTGAATCTATTGCCAAGCTCCTAAAGTGTGATCATGTGACCATAGAGATGGTTTAAGTATGTACACGCCCTTGTAGCTGCAAAAACAGGTCGTAGGTAGCTCTGCAGAGGTCCACCATAACTTCGAATGGTGTTAAAGCAACTGTTGTAAGTCAAGGACTACCTGTATAATTTTCTTCCTGTCTTTTCACTTTTTCTCCTTTCCCCTGTCCATGTTTCTTCATAATAGAGATAAAGTATTTGAGTAGAAACCTGGATCAAAATATGTTCTTGAAGAAACTGATGCTGTGATTCCTCAGTGGACTTAACTGTTATTGATGACAGATATTTTACATTTGGATATGTATAGTATATTCAACCTAGAGAGGAAAATTATAGGGAACATAATATTAGTGAATAAGTATCTAAAAAGGTGGCAGAGTAAATAACTACTTACTGCTTAAAAGAAATGTCGGACTCCACTTGCCAGACTTAGTTGGACTTGAGGAAGTATATATCTCAAAAGTGAAGCACTGCAAAACTATGGGAACCAATCTGATATAGTTGTTAGTATATCGACTAAGATAAGAGACTTTAGAGTTCAGGAGGAATCATATTTGTCATCCTGAGCTTTCCAAACAAAAATGGACTATAAAATAATGTAATTACTGAAAAGTCCACATAGGATATCCCGTTTAAAAATAGAAAATTTGCTCTGCCTCCAGGATCTGGTGATAGTGAAAGTCATGTAAAATCTCCTCATGGGGCTATGAAATAATATAACATAAGTCTATTTCTCTCTTTCATTTTGAAAGCTTAAGAGAAGGTAAACTGTATATACTGCTCTATTAGATTAATTAATAAAGCTGTATGGAAGAAATGATCCAGGATTGCTTAACTCTTTATTCTTTCTGATTTACATTAAATTGAATTGCCATTGATTGGAAAAAGTTTTAATTCAGTTATCTTGTCTGTGTATTAGTCAGTCCTTTCCAGTATTTTTAAAGTGTACTTTCGAGTTCCATTTCTCTTCTTGTAATATAGTAATGCAGAACTGGTTTCATTTGAATTGCTCCTTAGCCATATATATATAGTCTTGTTCCTTTCTAATCCTCTGTAACCCATACTTACAGCCTTTTCATCCTCCCAGACTTCTGTATGACACCTAGCTTTTAAATTCCAATTACCTGATTTTTTTTTTTTTTTTAGCCTGAGGGCTTGTTTCACACCAAAATGTGATATTCTACAACATGTTCAGTGTAAAGCAAGATGGAGATGTGCCCTGATTTTTGAAAGCTGTTAAAACAAATTAGTGGAGATATTTGGCTTATTCTTTCAGTGCAGAGTCCAGCAGTATGGATAATAAGAGGAAACAGAAGGCTTTTGAATTGTTCAATGCTATAAGCATAGTAGCACGGGTATGGTCTTTCACCTGTAACTGTGGACTATAGGTAGAGGTAGAGACTCTGAGGTAGAGTCAGGGGGGCAAGTTCAGAATAAGCCTATCTCTTCATAGTCTGCCTCAGTAGCCAGGAAACTGACAATTGGCTGATTAGTCATCAGCATAGCATCTCCCTTCTTTCCCTTGAGGCCATCCCTTACTCTTCCTCTCCATTTCCTCTGTGCTTGTTGTCATAGTTACAGTCACTTATTGGCAGCAATAGGAAGATTGACAGGCAAGAAATTACTTGTATGGTTCTGGAATGCTACAGTGCACTGTGAAATGCTAGCTATCTGGACGCCTCAGAAAAGTATTGTGTGAACATTTTTGATTTGCGGAAATTAACATTCATAGATTGTAACTTTTTCAAATTCTCCCCCCATCAATAGATTCTTCTGCTTAAACAATGGATATCATACATTTTCAAATATTTATTCCATTTCACCCATAACACATTAAAATGTGGGGTCTTAAGTCTTGGACTCAAATCACCTTCAGCGATGGACGTTTATTGGATAATTGGGCCATTCATTCACTCTTAGCCCAACCTCTTTCAGAGGATTGTTGTGGGAAAAAAATAAGAGCATTCTGTATTCCTCCTTGAGTTTCTGCTCAAAAGGCAGGCTATAAATCTAATCAATCAATCATGAAGCAGTAATATTGACATTTTCGGAGAAAAATGATCTTAGAAAAAGAAATATTAATTTAACAATCTGGTTCCTTGGTTAGTGTCAGGTGTCTAGACAAATCAGAGATCACATTCCTGGGTGTGAAATAGGCAGGTAGGTATGCTTTTTAAAATTTGTGTATTAAATTATATATTACCCTTTTTTTCCTCATTATTGCTTGCATAATGGCAGAGTCAGTCATGAAAGCATTTCTTAGTTTGGGGGATAGAAAGTAAATAAATGGTACAATATTGGTCTCTACCTATGTGCAGTATACCCACACACTAAGTTATGATGAGAATGATGGAGGGAGAGTGTATACTTGTTGACTATTATGGGAACAGTATTGTTTATTCCAGATAAACATTTGAACCGGTACATTAAAAACATTTCTAAGCTGCTTCCAACCTCCTACTGTGGATTCTGTAATTCATGTAAAATAGTCAGCAATTAAAGACACTGATTCTGAAAATGTATCCTGGGAAAAATCAAATCAAATATAAATTGAAGCTAACATATCAATCCTGCATTAATGGAAATGAAAATGCATTGAGTAGCATTGAGTAAAAAAAAAGTCAGCACAAGGGCAAGTCTTCTTTGATTAGTGGGTGTGGCCCAATTCTGGATCACTGTCCCACTTTACGTCAAATGATAGTAACGAGGACTTAGAGAAAAACCTTTGAAGTTTACAATGTCTTCGATGGTCCTTAAGCATTTTCATCATTTTACCATGTTATTTTTAATCTCTATTGGACAATATTTCCTTCCCCCCACAGTGTATAGAAACTTATTACATCCTTGGACAGAATGAAAATAGCCTCTCTGGTAAACCCAAAAGCCTGGCCTTCCTACATTATTTACATATCTGAGGGAAGGGCAGCCATGATATTTAGAGCATTTATTTGATTTATATCTTGCCGTTATTACTTTATAAGTAACTCTAGCAGCAAACATACATAATTTTATTTATTTGTATTCTGCCTTTACGGGTAGTCCTCGCCTTACAACAGTTCATTTAACGACCATTCAAACAATGCCACTGAAAAAGTGATTTATGGCCATTTTTCACACTTACAAATCATAGCAGCATCCCCAGCCTCATGCGATCAAAATTCAGATGCTTGGCAACTGACTCATTTATGACATTTTCAGTGTCCCAGGGTCATATGATCACCTTTTGCAACCTTCTGACAAACAAAGTCAGTGGAGAAGCCAAATTCACTTAACAGCTGTATTACTAACTTAACAACTGCAGTGATTTACTTAACAATTGTGGCAAGAACGGTCATAAAATGAGGCAAAATTAACTTAACAAATGTCTCACCTAGCAACAGAAGTTTTGGACACTATTGTGGTCGTAAGACAAGGACTACCTGTATTATTTTTACAAATAACCCAAGGTGGCAAATATGTCCAACACACTCTCTTCCTATTTTCTCCAGAATGACAACCCTGTAAGGTGGGTTGGGCTGAGAAAGGGTGACTGACCCAAGGTCACCCAACTGATTTTTATGCATAAGGCGGGACTAGAACGCAGTCTCCTTAACCATTATACCTAATACATCATTCTCCAAATGAAAGACCAGTTGCTTTGAGCATGCATGATTAAGTTATAATTATGAAGACGAAGTGATTTAAATATTTTTCTCACATATATTGATTTTATTGATTTGAAATAGTCTCCTCCTGCATTAACCAGCTTAATGCATAGCTATCTGATTTAGATGGCTTAAAATAGTTGTATGGTGTTGTATAACTTGAGCACTCAATATCATATAAAAGTTTAGATATAATTTTCGGTGATTTTCCAAAAATTATTACTGAGCACCAAATTTTGTTTAACATGCTTGAAGGGGAAAATATAAAAAAATGTGAAAAGTAAACATATTAACTGCACTTAAATTTATTAAATAGAATTTTCATTCATCATGCAGAAAAACTAATGTATTTCTGAATTGCAGCCCTAGGAAGTTACTGCAAGGCTAAATACAGTCTTTGTTCCAAAAATTTGCACATACTTGGTTTAAACAAATAAAAGAAATTGATGTTCAAAAATCTCAGCAGCTAGCAATATCTAGCTCTCTGTGTCTGGAAGCAAAGAAATATAAGTCTTGGCTAATATTTGGGTGAAAGACATCCAGGGAGTGCCAGAGCTACAGGCTAGACTGCAGAGTAGAAAAATATATAAGACAATGGCAAATTGTTTCCATATTGTTGCCAGGAAAATATCACGGACATGCCCTGAAAGTCATCAGGAGTCAAGCATGACTGGAAGGAGACTTCATTTTAATGTTGTAAAAGTCTATTAGGTGCTGTTAGGAATGATAGATAGATAGCTACAAATTCAAGGCAATATAATTCTGAATAGCAGTTATAAGAAAGTTGGTTTCATTCATTGAATGCATTGTTGCATTCATCCTCTGCTTGTAAAAATTCTGAAGAATCCAGATGAATAGAAAGGGAAAAGTGGGGGTGGGCAGATAGGGGGGACTAAATACTTGCATAGTCTACCAGGGACTGTAATACTTTCCTAAAGACAGGAGAATTGATGGGGGATATAGAGTTCTCCATTTCTACCTTTTCTCTTTCTTAACAGGTATGTGAATACTCTTCTGAAGCTCATTCCACCGGTACTAGGACTCCAGGAACAGCTACGTCAAGCAGTTCAAAATAGGGATATGGAAACTTCTCATGGGATTTGTCGTATTGCTGTAGCCTTAGGGGAGAATCATTCACGGTGAGAAGCATTAAGCCTTGTGTGGGTATTTAATAGCAGTGATTGCTAGAGCCATTCATGATTCTCTATTACTCACAAATAGCTTGCAATTTCTCAAATTCTATTTAGAGATCTAGATGATTTAGGTGCTAATTTACAATCTTGGATTTGGGGGGAACTCTGCAGAATCTTAGATCTGTAATGTGCATGGAAGTTATTCAAGCTCTAAAACAGTTCCAGCTGATGGGCTTCAGTGGGCATTTGCTTCATGAATTGTTGAATCCTACTCCATATGTATTATCTCTTAAGTTCTATATTTTATTATATTAGACTACCCGTGATCCGTTGGGTCATCATTTCAAAGATATTTTCTTCTCTAAAGAGACAAAATGATCGTGGGCAGGCAAAAAACAGTGGGAGTGACTCCAACTTTCTATAAACTTTCCTATTAACTTGCCTTCTGAGAAGATGGCAGAGAGTGGTGGAAATGATGATCACTTGACTACAGCAGCACAGCCACAAAGCAGTGCTTAAACAACCACAACTTTGCCAAATTTCAATCCCACAGAAGTAATGAGTCCCAGATTTTGGACTCATTGTTTAAGTTAGCTCATTTGAGATACATTGATTCAAAAGTTGTTGCCCTTTGATACACATTTTCATCCAACTGAAGATTACAAACAGTTTTAATAGTATATAGATTCCTATGGGTCTGCCATGATATAGCAGGTTCCTGATTCTGCATTCTTACTACCTTCCCTAGAGCACTTCTGGACCAGGTAGATCATTGGCAGAGTTTTCTGGCACTGGTCAACATGATAATGTTCTGCACCGGAATCCCAGGACACTATCCTGTGAATGAGACCACAAGCTCACTTACACTCACTTTCTGGTATACATTGCAGGTAAGAGTTCTCTTCCTGAAACAGATTCCTTCAAGTGGTATTTTCTTAGCTTGATATGATTTATTTATAAGAGCCATGGTGGTGCAGTGGTTAGAATGCATTATTGCAGGCTCAAGGTTGACTCATCCTTCCATCCTTCTGAGGTCAGTAAAACAAGGACTCAGATTGTTGGGGGCAATTTGCTGATTCTGTAAACCGCTTAGAGAGGGCTGTAAAGCACTATAAAGTCATATATAAGTCTAAGTGCCATTGCTATTGCTGTCCCCTGGTTTAGTGGTTTATGTATAGTCTATTTGTTCTGTACTTGTGGTAGAAACACACATTATATCGTTGATATTGATGTCGACTCTGGACTGAGTACTATGTAGTATGTAAATCAGCAGATGGTCAGACTTCAATCAGTCAAAAGTCCTTTGTGATCAATACTTTGCTTATTAAAGTCAAGATTCTTGCTTCCCTCCATGCAATGAACGCTTTACTGGGTAGTAGAACTATTATCTTGTTGCATCTTATTTCTGTTCATGTTTTATTGTATGTCATTGGATTTGAATATCCATCCTGTGTTTAAGTAGGATGCCTTTTCTATATAGTGTGGCAGATTAGGTTGACACTCCTGCACTGCTCAAGAACAAGGCTATTTGTTGAAGTGCTGCATTTCTAAGTGCCAGCTTGAAATAGGATGAGGTCATATGTTGCCTCAGTATGTGACTGGTGCAGTACTTCAGTCCACAGACACATTATTAATGAATGGTGCTGAACTAGAATAGCATCTTCTATAGTCTATTGGAGAAAGGAGGGTTTTTTCCTGCCATGTCTACTGTACATCACAGCAATATGCTTACTCTTAGTTCTCACTGTGTTTTTGACTTTTCATTGGCTATGAAATGCATGACTTCATTATGAGAACTAGTTTTTTCCTCACTTAGACAAAAATAAGAACAAGATGGTCCTTATATCTGGTCTGTGATAGCTTCTACTTTTGCTTACAGATAATTGCTGGGAGGTGATACTGCTTATTTGGTGCATTGACAGAGTATAATATAAAGTTATTCCTTTACTTTAATGTTCTGATTTAAAAACAGAGACAATTGGAAGTCTGTTTTGGAGAACTCCGATAAATTCAGTTGCAAACATATCTCTGAAAGACATCTGTAGCCCTATAGCTGTATCTTTTTTCCCATTAAAACAACAGCAGCCTCTTGTCATTGCCTTGCAGTTAGGACCTAGGAAAAGGGTCAAATGCCAGGAAAGATATCTGGAGGGCCCTTGCACAATGAACAAGTCAATATTAGGCAGAGCAGCTGAAATATTTGAGGAAAGCAGTATGATATTGAATTGCGAGTTCTAGCTATCCCATCAGAAAGTACTGATAGCAGTAATTTCTTATGATCATACCCAAATCTTAGGGGTGGTTGTGTCACATAGCTTTTCTCTGCAACTGAGCAATTATCTTTTTGTTTGCAGGATGACATTCTGTCTTTTGATCCAGAAAAACAGGCTATGTATCAGCAAGTGTATCGACCTGTATATTTTCAGTTAGTGGATGTACTCTTACATAAAGCTCAGTTTCCTTCTGATGAAGAATACAGTTGCTGGTCTTCTGATGAAAAGGAGCAATTTCGTATATATCGGTATGGCCTTTTGCTTTTAATATAGGAAATGGCTTGTGAACCGCAAAAGAGTAGTTAATCACACAGTATTAGTTGTAAAGAAGGCTGAATGTTGGATTATTAGTGTTTATTTTAGCTATATCTATGTTTACTTCGTCCTGTAAGCAGACTTTTTGTGATTCTTTTGTCTTCCAGAGTGGACATCTCAGATACTTTGATGTATGTATATGAGATGTTGGGAGCGGAACTGCTGAGTAGCTTATATGACAAACTGGGTCGCCTTCTGACAAATTCAGAGCAGCCATCCTCATGGCAGGTGAGGATAGAGTTCTGCTCTCAGATGACAGCAGTAACCAGTGAACCATTGGCCAGGACTAGGGATGAGGGAGGAAACCATGTAGAGGAAGTAATGGAATAAATGGGTATTATTTTATTTGTCCAGCCTGAGCTCTATATGGCTATTTCTCTTTTAGTTACTACCTTGGTTAGCAACCATTCACAGATACCACAGTTGTAAAAAGTCATTTTCTCACCAATATGCATATTTATCCCCAAATTTTGTTCGCCTGACAACAAAAGCCTTAATTATTGTGATTAAGATCTGACTTAAAACTTCTAATCAACTAATTAAGATCACAGACCTGAGCTTGTAAACTGGAAATTAGCACTTTCTGGGGAAGCACTTGTTGCAGAGAAAAGCAGCTCAGGAAGAGATCTTGTTTAAGCAATCTCTCTGCTCTTTGAGGTGGAAAAAGGGGGAAAAACCGGGTCAGGCACAGGACATAGTGCAAGATAACTTTATCTGAATGGAAGGGCAGCAACAAATGATCTTGCTCTGTCCCTCCCTCCCTCCCTCCCTCTCTCTCTCCCTCTATCTCCCCCTCTCCCTGTTCCTTTCCCAAACACACTTAGCTACCATTTTGCTTAATAATCAAGTTGTTGGAATGAAATGTGGTTGCTAAATGAGAAGAGAGTGTAAAGTGGAAATTTAAACAGCTAATAATTAGGTGCTTCCAACTGAATTTTAGTAAAATGATCTGGGTATTTTGGAGCCTCAAATTGAAGCTGGAACTTCATACAGTTGCGAGTTCTTTATACCTAGATTAATATAGAGATTGCTATAGCAAATGTGCAGTCTCATTTCCTTGGATATTACACATACTGGTCTTTTTAGTTTAGTGAAGTATATTAGATATGTCTGCTACACAGAGATAGTTGTAATGTTGGGCCACATTTCCATATATGGCAGCTGATCAGAATGGATCACTGACCTGTGTTATCAGAATGCTACTGGTGTGGCAAACAGTGATGGAAGTATCAATGATTACAGGGGTTCCTTATCCATCACTGTGACAGCAAACAAGAATTGAGCCCTGACCATGATTTATAAGCCAAAGCATTTAAAAGTAACAATGCCAATGCTCCAGCATACTGAGCATGTTGTAAACTCAGTGATCTATATATATATATAATGGCCCATTGAGAAAGGGAATGTGTGTGCAAGATACTTTGCTTTTGCTTTCCCATCTCAAAGTAGTGGAACTGTGAGAGGCCAAACTACTTAATTTTCAGTCAATTGCTACTCAGGCCTTATATGCTATGAATGCACAAGATAAGGACAGTGAGTATAATTGTACATCCCAGATTCAGATGTAATAGTCTTGAAAAATAATGCTTGCTTTGGGGAAAAATTTATATCATAGAATTAACTGTAAGAAAATGACAGTTATATTTTTCTGTGGGAACTAGCTCCATACTGTACCTCTTTTGTCAGAATCAAAATTTGAGGGGGAGCTATTTATTGCTGGATTCAACACATCTCTTTTTTATTTCTGGCAGCACACGGAAGCTTTACTTTATGGGTTCCAGTCCATTGCAGAGACTATAGATGTAAACTATTCAGACGTGGTTCCTGGCCTTATCGGTCTCATCCCCCACATCAGCATCAGCAATGTACAACTTGCGGACACAGTTATGTTCACTATTGGTGAGGAAATTGGACAAGTGGAGGGGAGGTGCTGTTGAATGGGGAAGACTGCAATTCTGAGATGATATAACTGTTACAAAACGATAGGTTAACATATCAGCAAAGTAATCTTGAACTAGTTTTCTTTTTGTTACTAGGGGCTCTCTCAGAGTGGCTGGCTGATCACCCTGTAATGATCAACAATGTCCTGCCCCTGGTATTGCAGGCTCTGGGCAATCCAGAATTATCTATCTCTAGTGTCTCTACTCTTAAGAAGATATGCCGTGAGTGTAAATATGACTTGCCTCCGTATGCAGCCAACATTGTTGCTGTCTCTCAGGTAACAGAAAAAATGGTTTAATGCAATTAAAGTAATAGATGGATAATTAAAATAAACAAAATCCATTATTGAAATAGATCCAGAAGTTTCATTTATCACTCTCTATGCCACCGTACTTAATAACGGAATATTTGAGACTAGCCTATATTTAGAAAAACAGACACTTGGTCAAAAGAAGGCTTTTTTTATACAGGTGATAAAATTCTCTCCTTTAAATAGGCAGGAGCACATTGTTGTCTCAATTGTTGCAGATCACCTCCCTTAATCATGGCAACAATAGCTGTCAGTCTAATCAGTGGTCAAATGCTGACCTTCATCTCTCCACATACCCTGCCCATGTCCTTGAGATTGAAAAGCTGAAAAGAAACCATATGAAGTTATTTGGTTATTTCCTTGTGACCTGCCCCAACCCTGGAATCCAAATCAAAGTAAACCATTCTGCAGAGAATGATGAAAATTGCTCACAGTAAGCTTCCAACTGTTCCAACTTCTTTCCCCAGTATATTGATGGAGGCAAGGCCACGCTTAAAAAAAAAAAAAAAAAATGAGTCATCCAAGTATATGCACAGGGTGAGTGCAAATATGTGTTTATAAGTTTATATGGGAACATGGATGTGTACAGAATAATAAGGAAATAAAATGTAGAATTTAATCCTCTTCATTTCTGGTCTGCAGCCTCTGCCTAGAATTTCCTTTCTGAGGATATAGGGTTCTTGAGGATTAGTAGGAAGGATTTCCTACTGCTGGTGTTCAAAGAGTGAAAAATCTAAGATTTTTAAGCAATATTTATCATTGATCTAGATCAGACATGTCAGATTCACGACGTCATGTGACATTGCGAGACGTATCGGGACAGTTTTGCCATTGCCGGCAACGGGGTGGGCGCGGCTTCCAGATGACGCATTCGGCCCGCGGGCCGGCAGTTTGACACCCCTGATCTAGATGTACAGGAGTAGCCTTTTTATAGCAAAAATAAGAAATTCTAAATCAGGGGTCCTCAATCTCCGGTCTGTGAACTGGTTCCGGTCTGCGACATGCCAGAAAGTGATCTGCGCAAACCAGTGAAGCTCCATCTGTGGGATGCAAGCAGCATGCAAAGCTACACCCCCTAAGGTCCATGGAAAAACCTCTCTCCATGGAACCGGTCCCTGATGCCCAAAAAGTTGGGGACCTCTGTTCTAAATAGCATATATGACCTGTGTTCAATGTGTGTTTATGGATAAATTCAGCTGACTTGATAATCTTTATATCTTATCCAACCACAGATTTATGGTGAGATGATTGCATGAAAAGCAGAGGTCATCCTTTCCCCAGTAACTGAAATTTAGTCAAGATGGCTCTTCACTTGCTTAAATGTTACCTATGTGGTATATGATAAGTTCTAGTGACTCTGTGGCAAGTAGAACTCCAGAGGCAAAGTCTTTACAATCAATTACCTATAATGAAATCCTGATTGCTATTCTTTTTTTACTTGTCCATTTTTGTCTGAAGCTTCAGTTCCCCTAGAACAGGGGTAGGCAACCTTGGCTCTTTTATGACTTGTGGATTTCAATACCCAGATTTCCTGAACCAGCCATGCTGAAGTCCACAAGTCATAAAAGAGCCAAGGTTGCCTACCCCTGCCCTTGAACCTCTATTTGCCTCACAGAATTTTCAGGTGGCACTATGGTTAGGCCATTGTTGATGTAACTAAATTCTGCATTAGAGGCAGCATTCACTTTCTTGACTCTTTTTCCCTCTGTAGGAGGTGCTAATGAAGCAGATTCACAAGGTAAGATTGTTTTCCCCATTTGACAGGAAATTACAAGTATGCATAAGATATGGTTTCCTATCAAACTATTACAATGGAATTGAACATTGCAGCAAATGTGAGGCTTTACTAGTGAGACAAATGAGGCTTTCAGTTCCTAAATAGAGATTTAGTTATGTCTCCTAATAACAGCAATGGCCATTCCTATACTGAGTCATGCCATTTATAAACAAGTTTTAGGATAAGTTCTCACAAAGCATTTTTAAGCTTAAGCTTGTGGATGATTAAGAGTTGAGTGGGAAGATGAAGTGAAACTTTCTAAATGCAATAATAAAATTGAAAATGCTATCCATCTTTTGTTTTTAGACAAGTCAGTGTATGTGGCTGATGCAGGCTCTGGGTTTCTTACTGTCTGCCCTCCAAGTGGAGGAGATTTTGAAGAATCTACATTCACTTATAACTCCTTACATCCAACAATTAGAAAAATTGGCCGATGAAACGGTGAGCTACATCAGATGCCTGATAATGGTTTCTGTTTTTTCTTAAGGAAGACTAGGCCTGCTATATGTAAGAGGCTTAACCTTTTTGTTATAAGTCATGCTTACTTTGTAAGCCCTCTTTTGCTTCCTTTCATTAGTGATTTCTACCATTGTCCTTTAGTTTATACTCTTCTTTATTAACATCCCATTCATCAATTCTACACTTGGGAACAAAGACATGGGGCACTTTCTCATGGCTATGTTAATGCACTATCCTCCACCAAAAGATATGCTGATGTAAGCTGTGCTGTTCCAACTATCAAGCCCTAGTCTACCATCAGAATTTGGTTGGTGAGAATTGCTGTCCTTAAATTATTGATAAAGTGCTAGTTAAGGAGAAGCAATTGGTAGATTTCCGTGGCTTCACTTCCCTTTTCACCAAAATCATCTGCCAGTAAGAAAAATAAGCAGAGGTTGCGCTTATTAATATGGGGTGGGGTGGAATAGGCTGGGTATAGAAAGTATCTGGGAAGGGTGGTTTAGCCACTTTTCATATTATCCAAGTGGAGAGAAATGCACAGTGATGCATGACAGAGCTCCCTGATGCTCCATGCTAGTGTTGGATTATTTTTCAAACTAAATGCTACACAGGTAGCAACCATTCGCAGTTACAATAGACCTCCCCAGAGCTACTTACTATTTGGTTCTGATGGCTGCTCCTGTGATCACATGACTGCATGTTGGGCACTTGGCAACCAGCATGTATTTATGGCCATTTGCGGTGTTCTGTGGTCACATGGCTGTGTTTTATGTCATTTTTGCCAAAAATCCTGGCCTTGATTTCCAGTTTTTGACAAAATGGCCCATAGTGAACAATGGTTTCACTTTATGATTGTCACGTTGCTTAATGACCTCTGCAAAAGTCATTAAATTGGATTGGTTACGTAGGTGACACTTCATGACTGTCACAACTTAGAATCGCAATGGTCAGGCTCCATTACAGTCATAAGTCGAGAACTACCCGTATCCATATCTTAAAAGAGTCTTACAATTTACAAAAAGAATTGTGAAGAGCACTGTAATGCACATTTCTTCTGCTTTGCACTGCACTGCTCCGCTGTGACAGATAACAGACAAAGAAGATGGATTTTTTAAAAATTAGTTTTATTCATTTATAACATAAAATGTGAAAATACAAAAGCAAATTGTAGGGGACAACAGTAGAAAAGGGGAAAACAAAAAAGGTGTGAAGAAAAGGAGGGGAAGAAACAAAAGGCATTGACTTGTGATTCTCTCTGTTGCAGTAAAATCAGACATTAAAATCAAATCTCAACTTTTTACATTTCTGTAGTAGTTATACACTAGCCATTTTTGTATCGGCAAATCAGTCTAATCGGTAAAACCCCAAATCATGATATCATTTTTTCCACCTCAAGCACAAAGTCCAGAAGCGGCTTCCAAGTAGAAACAAAAGTACTTAATGTTTTTTTCTTTTATCAGCACAATCAATTTGGCCATCTCTGCTAATTCCACCAGCTTTTGTAACCATTCGTCCATGGTAGGAATCGAGGCATCCTTCCACTTTTGTGCATAGAGCAGTCTTGCTGCCGTCATCATGTATAAAATCAGAGTTCTGAATTTTTTTTCCAGTTCTCTTTCCATTAGGCCCAGGAGGAGAGTCTCTGGTTTAATCTTTATGTTCACTTTAAGAATTTTCTGCATTAATATATGAATCCTACTTCAGTATTTCTTTGCCTTATCACATGTCCATCATAAATGATAAAAAGTACTTTCTTTACATTTACATTTCCAACATTCATTTGAAATACCGCTATACATTCTAGATAACTTATCTGGTGTTAAATACCAGCGATACATCATTTTGTAAAAAAAATTCTTTTAGGTTATAATTTAATATGAATTTTAAGCCTTTTATCCACATAGTCTCCCATTGTTCAATCATCACATTATACCCAAAATTCCTTGCCCACTGGATCATACAGTGTTTTACATGTTCATTTTCCAAATTCAATTTTAATAACTTTTATAGACCTTGGCAATTATATGATCATCACTACCACATAGCAAAGAAGATGGATGGTGAAAAGCATAAGGAGCTCCGCTTTGTCCCCCACCCTCTTTTCAAATTTGTTAATCCAAGATATGGGTCAGAAATCCTGCCGAGATGTGGAAATAAAGGCTGAGATGCTCACTCAAGAAAGATCCTCCTTGCTTTCATAAAACATCTGTGAAGGCTACTGTTTGGCCCCACTGTCTTACCTTCAATACAGTCAGCTTTTGGGTGGGGAGAAACTGACAGGTGCTAGCAGACCAAGGCTCTGCTTCATTCCTGAACAGATCTCAGGAGAGGACAGAACTGCCCAGTGATGCATGAGTACTTCTCGTGTCTTTTCAGCCTTCTTCTTCCATTGTTTTTCTCCAGTAAGAGATGCATTTTTCAAAATAGAAAAAGCTGCTAACTTTGTTTGCTGCTGCCACAATTATTCAGGCTCCATTACAGTTTTGCAGACCTAAAGGTTCTGCAAACTTAAAAGGTGAGATGGAGCAATTGAGCATTGAAAGGAAACCCCTAGGAGACACACTAATGGCAAGGTGTTATCAGCCCAAAGTGATTAGACCCGGACATTCCATTTTGATTTCTGTACTCTTTGCAGTTGTGCATAGGTGGGGGAGAAGGAACGAGAAAGTGAGTTTTGCTTAGAAAAATGCACTTGTGGGGTGGCCTATGAGATTGGATCAAAAGTTAAGTGTATGAATCCTATGTGCATATGCATACAAACACATACATTTTTCATGGTATTAGCTGTCTTAAAATTCTCTTACCATATCTTTTAGAGGCTGTTCTTCCAAAATAGAAGAAACTTGGTGCTGGATCAGGCCAAATCTAGTCTAACAGTTACTCAGGGTCTCTTTACTAAAAGCTTTATTTTAGGAGACTGCTGATCAGGAAAGCAGGAAAGCTTCTCCTGCTTGAACTGTAGTGTCTACCATTACATATTGAAAGAATTGTGAAATGTGAAAAAAGCAGAATACCTTTGAAAAAGGACTAGAGGAGAGGGGGGCATGTCAAAGCAATCTGAAGTGGCCATTAGGAACAGGGAGATCCCAATTTTTCCCTTAAGGTACATGATCAGTGAAGAGTCTTAAATCCATAGCAAATATGTATTGGGAGAAATTGAAAGGCCTGATTTTAAGACTGAAACACTACAATAGAACTTTAAAGGTGTCTTCGTGGTTGGCTGGGGATAAAACTAAGGCAATGTCAGGTGCAAACAACCAGACCCAAACTGGAAGTGTTCAATTAGCTGCTTTATTGCTCAAACCTATACACAGGGATCTTCTCAGACTAACCGTTTGCATCTGAATGACACTAGATAAGATTCAATGGTGTTCGGGGGGGGGTCAGACTTTGCCTTCTTGTGCCCACATGGGGGTTCTAGACTAAGTCCCCCTTTTGACTCCTTCCTCAGCTCATCCAGTTTTTCTTCTATAGGCAACATCATCTAATTTAAAAATGGTTAGTGGCACATGCTCATGCTATAGTTAGAGGAGTGCAAAGATCAGCCTGAAGTCTGCTAAGAATGAAGCACTAGGTACCTAACTGTGTTTCACAGTACTGTCATTTCTTATTGATGCCAACTTTGAAAACTTGATGATAGTGGCCTATATCCTGGGCCAAGTGTGATGACTATAGTGATGCTTTATGTTGCAGCCCAATCCATCTAACAAGCTAGCTATTATCCATATATTGGGTCTACTCTCCAACCTCTTTACCACTTTGGACATCAGTCACCATGATGATGATCATGAGAACACAGAGGTTAAAAAACTGCCAGTGCCTCAGGGCCCCAATCCGGTGAGTATTGTTGCATAGCTGAAGAAGTTCTCTCTGTGTATTAATACAACTAATTCTTTAATAAATGCTTGTTTTCTCTGCAATGCAGTTACTATAAGCAGCTTTTCCTGTAGAAGGTAATACCAAGTTCTATTTAAAAATTATGATAAAAGGGATACTGTTATATACTGTTCCTATATTATGTTTTGTAATAATTTTAATAGAAGTTCTAATTACAACAATAAAAGATTATACAAAAGGAAAAAGGAAAGAAAAAAGTACAAAAAAGAAAAGAAAAAAAAAATCCTTTTTCAAGAAAGCAACTTCCCACCCTCATTATGGCAAGTATAAACAACTTCATAATCTCTTCATTTCCTTTAATAATAAATATAAAACTTTTTATCCCATAATTCATCTCTTAATAACATGCTAATCAAATAAGCAACATCTTTTTCAATCAGCAAAATGTCTAATCAGAGTTTTAAAACAATATTTCATGTATATAAAACTCAACATTCCACTTCTCAACTGTTAATTGTAAGCAAAACCCCATTTAAAAGAAATAAAATGATCCCGATGGCCTAATATAAAACAAGGAATTTAGTTTAACATGACAAGGAGGGACCATCTCTCCTTTAAAAAAGACAAGAGCTAATATACAACCTTCTATGCCAACAATTCCAAAGAAAATCATCCCAGATAACATACATCATTCAAATAAGCATTCCATAACTTAACTATAAATTACAAACAAATCCACATTTAGCAAATATAAAGTAATCTAGTATTCTAATATAAACAAAAAATGAAAATTTATCGTAAAAAACAGGAATGATTTCTCATTTTATAAAAACAAAACAAAAACAAATAATTTCTCATTTTATAAAAACAAATAAAAAGTCAGATACAGAACCAGTTTAAATGCTACCTAATTAAATAAGGGGAAAAGTTTAAACATCATATTAAATGCAAGCAAATACAGTATGCCACATTTTTCCTGTCCAGATACCAGCATCCTAAAAGGACAACCCAAAATCACAACATTCCCATTTTAAACGTGGTCAAATAAACCAACTTTGTATTCCTTTTTTTAAAAATACAGAACAATCTTTCTGGGTAATCCATTGAGATGGTTGTTGATCCTTGTTACAAATGTCTTCCATACTTTAAATAGCCTCTTTTGTAAGTCCAAGTATTATCATTTTTATTTCCTTCTTAATTTTTAAAGGCTCACCTATTTTTTCTTTATAACAAATCCTTATTCAAAGTTTTGTTCTGATTGTACCCAGATAGATTTTCTTGCATATGTTTTTTCTGTACATCTTATTCTGGGAAGAAACTGTTCTCAAGAAGACACAAGATAGCTAATGTAATTGATTCAAGCTCCTGTTGCAGTTCCCATTATAGGTTTTTAAAGATATCTCTGACCATCTTTACGAATTCCTTTTCTTGTTATGTCTCCAGTATCAAAACAGTTTTTCTTTTCCAGAAAAATATATTGTTTAAGATTAATTTTAAAGTCTTAATATTCAAAATCAAATATTCAAATGTTTTCTGAGCCCGTCCTCCATTTAAAACTCATAACCAAACCTTGTTTTGCTTCTTTGCTGTTTATTTTAAAATCTTAAAGTTTTATAAAGATAGATCTTCATTTTCTTTATTAAAGATTGAAGGCGCTCACTTTGAAGGTATCTTAACTTCTCTGAAGCAGTTAATAGCAATTTCTGCAATGGCTGCAAACATCTCCTCTTTTCATGGAGCCATTTTTAGTCTGCCATCTTCCCTGGAAGTCCCTTTCCATTCCTCTATTCTAAGTGAGTCTTTTTAGTTGAGTTACCCAAGATCATGCAAAGTTTTTGTATGACTGTTTTAATGATCAGAACTAAATTCAGAACATTCCTTAGAAAAAGTTATAAGCTTCCTTTGTATTAGCCATTGAGAAGAGGAAATACGGTATGCATTGTATGTTACTAGTGTACTTAAAGGAGGTGCACAAAAGATTTCCAAGACAATCTCTAACCCCTTTTCTACCTGAAAATCCGAATGCCTATATACTTTGCTAAAATACTGTGCTAAATACTTTGCTAAAATCACAAGCGTGTAAGACACACCCATTTCTAAATTATATTCTATGTTCATTCTCGTTTATAGGTAGTGGTGGTGTTACAGCAAGTTTTCCAGCTCATCCAGAAAGTGCTCAGCAAGTGGTTAAATGATGCCCAAGTTGTAGAGGTAATGCTTCTTCTAAGTAAAAAAAAAAAAAATCACACAAAGGGATACAGGACAAGCCATTTTCTTCAGGTGATTATAGTGCCTTGACTAGGTGGATTTACTGCTGTGATATCTGGCCTCCAGGGATCTGCTAATAACAGAACATTCCTTTTAAACACATAAGCCTGAAAAAGCTTCACCTCTCTGCTAGGAGGAGAAATCTAGTTTTATCCTGTAGTGCTGTTAAAATAGTTGATCTGTGATAGGTACTTGACATAATACTGTAATATGGATCATCTGGATTATGCTGGTGTATTTCTTAGATTAGATCTATTATATTTCTTCTTAAATAGCTTGACATTACCATGCTATCCTCTTTCTGAGGTAACTTATGAAACCTATGAATCAAGTCAAGCATATATACTTAAGAAGCATGATATTATCTATGTCAGTGGTTCTCAACCTGTGGGTGGGGACCCCATTTGGGGTCGAACGACCATTTCACGGGGGTCGCCAAACAATGCAGTCCGCCATTTTTTCCCCGTTTTTTAAGCTGTGCTACTCCCTTTTATTCTATTGGCTTTTGAAAGCCAATAGAACAGACTCTCTTGAATAGAGTCTAATTCTATTGGCTTTCAAAAGCCAATAGGAATTGTCCAGGCTGTCTCTGCCCTGCTGAGTCCGCCAAAAGTCCCATTCTGCAAATGGTGCTGCACCAGTTGAATAGTCCTCGACTTAGGACCGGTTGAGTAGTCTTCGACTTACGACCGGTTGGGGGTTGCGGCATTAAAAAGGTTGAGAACCACTGATTTATGTAGTAGTAGAGCTGTTTGGATTATTAATCATTCACTGTATTTTTTTCCTGGTGCAGTTTTGCAATTTTATATGTATATATGTAGCCAAGTGAAATATATGTATGAATTGTATGAATAACAACTTGACATTCTTGCTTTATAATAAGTTAAAATCTATTTAGTTGCCATCTTTAAAAAAATCACAGTTTTACTATGAAAGTATTTAAAACTTATAAAAATATTTACTGTTAATCTAATACCAATCTGATCTGCTTTTAGCAAAATGGTAGTCACTTTTATTCCATCCTGCATTTTTAATAGTTTAAATATTTGACTTAATTAAGCAGTCGATTTTACATTGTGTCCTCTGGATCAGAAACTTAAGTCCATGCTGGCTGGGGATTCTGAAAGATGCAGTCTCAAGTAATTCCCCTAACTTGGGAAGGGCTGAATTGGTTCAGTTCATTTTGGTCCAGTTTAATTTTTCTTCTGATTATTTGGTAATACAGCTTTAAACATCTCAAAAATGCTTGCTGCAGTAAAAAAAATAGAGAGGGAGAAAACAGATATCCAGCAATGTTCATGCAGATATACAAGAAAGGAACAGTGAGATTAAAAGGGCTCACTGTCCTGTGGTAATAATATTTGCTGCAGCCTAAATGAGCCTTGCTGTGTCATTCTTTGGTTGACCCTCACTAATGGGAAAGCAACAGTTATTGTGATCTCTTCTCTCCCAGAGAAAGTGCCATTATAATTTCTCCCTCACTCCTCATTTCCTCTTGTTTTCTTTGTTACTTCATCTTATATAAAATGTATAAAATATAATTTTATGTTGTTATAAATAGTTGCAATATATTTTTTAGGCGGCTCATTTAAAATTGATAAAAGCAGCCAATTGAAAGGGAATGCAACAACTGATCTATGTGTACTGTATTTCATGGAGAGAACTGAGAAGTATATCCAGACTGTGAAGAATTAGGAATTTTTGTACCAAATACCATTTTATATATATATATATATATATATATATATATATACACATACATACATACATACATACATACATACATACACACACACATATACATATACATACACATACATACATACATACATGCATACATACATATATATATATGTTTTCTGAGGTTTTCGCGGGTATTTGTATGTAGGTCTTTGGTTGTTCGGGTTTTCTCCCACGTAAAATTGGAAGTGTCTTGGCGATGTTTCGACAAAGTCCCATTCGACATCTTCAGGCTGGTGCTTTCAGCTTCGTACTTCGAGGAGCAATGTGTGGTCTTAGCTGTTTCTTCCTTTTAACTGCCAGTGGGGGTATGAACTGACTGGGTGGGAGTTTGGCTGTGTTCTGATTGGGTGGAGGGGTGTTCTGATTGGTTAGGGGTTTGGCTGTGCTCTGATTGGATGGGTTGGCTGTGCTCTGATTGGATGGGGGGTTGGCTGTGCTCTGATTGGATGGGGGAGTGTTCTGTTTGGGTGGGGGCTTTGTTGTGCTCAGGTTGGTCTGAGTTGCATCTTAAACCCCCCTGCACCTCAGACCAACCGAAACATCGCCAAGACACTTCCAATTTTACGCAGGAGAAAACCCGAATAACCAAAGACCTACATATATATATATATATGTATGTATGTATGTATGTACAGTATGTATGTATATGTATGTATGTGTGTGTATGTATATATATGCACACATACACATACACAATTTGTATGTAACAGGAGATTGGCAACAACCTGCTATAACCACATGCCTAGGGCTATTCCTTTGTAATATTATTTAGTATGAGACAAATGAGTGCTGGAAACTCTTTAAATTCCTTTCTGGTTATGTTTTATTTTGTTTCTTGCTTTATCTTTTGCTTATTTAAAAAGGAAGATAGGAATAATCGGTACAAACTTGAGAATAAGCTTTCATATGGCTGAAATTTCTGTTTGATATATCTGCAGGACCAATCAAAAGCTGCTTACACTAAATTCTCAACCATTTCCCTAATAAAATTATATTGCAAGTTTTGCCTCAATATGAATGAGGTTCTTTGCATTTTTAAGAATGACTGAATATAGAATTGAAAGCTTTAATCCATTGTTCAGTGTAAAAATCTGAAATAAGTATTTCTGAAAAAGGTATTTCATCTATATTGGTAGACATCCAATGAAGGGAGGCATGGTTATTCTGTGGGTGCCAGTGTTGAACTGCTCTTAACTGACTTTTGTAAAAGTCAGTAAGAATCTGTGTTTCTCCATTATTTTACATTCTGGGACAATAGTAAATATGTATGTGAGACATCCTTTCAGATATTTGAAGAGTACAAAGAGTGCTATCATTTAATCCTTAGTCTTTTCTACTTAAGAGTAGTCTTATAATAATTTTCATTGTCTTTTTCTGAACCTATTCCAATTTTTTGAATCTTTCTAAATATGTGCAGCCCAAAATTAGACATACAATTCAAAGTGTGATTTGACCGGTACAAAATTATTGCAAACAATCCTTCTATTGATTTGGAAACATTGCTTCTGTTGATGCAGCCCAAAAAGTGCATTTGCGTTTTTGTTTTTTTTTCGCATTGATATAATATTATTGACTCATATTGACATTGCAGTCAGCTACTGTTTTTATTTCCCTGCAAGCACTGCTACCAAGTTAGATGTTTTTCATCCTTTATCTTGGAATTCAGTTTTTTATGAAACAATTGTATCATGAGCCATGGTGATGCAGTGGTTACAATGCAGTACTGCAGGCTAATTCTACTGACTGCCAGCTGCCAGCAGTTTGGCAGTTCGATTCTCACCAACTCAAGGTTGACTCAGCCTTCCATCCTTCTGAGGTCAGTAAAATGAAGACTCAGATTGTTGGGGACAATATGCTCTGTAAACTACTTAGAGAGGGCTGTAAAGCACTGTGAAGCCGTATATACGTCTTAAGTGCTATTGCTATTGTTATGTCAAGGGTGGCCAAACTTCTGGTGCCTTCCCCTATCTCTGAAGGAGAAAATTGTCAAAAAAAAACAGATCAGGAATTTGTTGAAATGTCTAGGCTTGGTGGAATTCTCCAATTTAGGTAATAAGTCCAAATTAGGTAATAATAAATTAGGTAATAAGTCCCTATAATTACTTTGTCATGTCTGTGAAAGGTTTGCAATTTGTTTTTGGAAGATATTATTCACATATTTTCCATGCTGGGACTTGTGATAGTAAAAATTCAACCCCGGTGTTCCTTTTATTTATTCTTCTGCTTATTTTACCACAGATGCTCTTTAAAGTGCTAAGTGGGTTTAAAGTGCTCACTTGTGTTTCTGAATAGGAGTCATTACTTTTAACATATAATGCAACTTTTTCTATTGCTTCTATTCCTATTGAACAATTTTTATATTTCAACTGCTAGATTTCATTCCTGGGGCTCTTCCACAATGTCTTTGTCATAACTATTGAATCTTATTTGCCTTCCTATGTTAATAGTTTGTTCATCTTGTTTATTTCACATATAAAAATTATTGAATTAACTAAAGAGGCCATAAACTTCATGAACCAATGCTCTTTTTGATTTTTCAGTCAGTGCTTCAATGGCCTCTTTATTACAATGTTCTATAGCAAGATCCTTACTTATTCTAAGATCCTTATTTCAGGATTTTAGTCCACATGAGATTCATTATGAAGCCCTATAACCAAATTTTGGTCAAATTGTTTCATTAAGCCTTTTGTTTGTTTGTTTGTTTGTTTGTTTGTTTAGCATATTTATATAGCTACCCAAATGGGATCTTACAAGGTGTATGCCATCTTCTGCAAGAAATCTGCCATGTACGTAGCACAAACCATGGATACGTAGCACAAACCATGGATACTAAATCTTTCCTGTTACCACCACTTCCATAGCCATTCACTTGCAATATGCTTGAGGTGGAAATTTTAATACCAAAACTAAAAACTGCAGTTTATTTACAAATAAATGTTGGGCAGAAAACAAGGGTGCAGCTAAGACGTCCGAAGGCCTGAATATTTAAGTTATTTATTCTGTAGATATGGCTGCCGGAGAAAATAATGTGATACATAATGATGTTAATAAGAGATTTCATTTGCTGCTAAATAAATTGTTTAAATTGTTTGGAGAATAGTAGGCTTTCCTGCAGTACATCCAAGTGTTACATGAATATCACACTTTCTAACTGAAATATAGATATGCTGATCACATCAGAAATGTCTCCACTTCTATTCAAGAAAACCAACTTTTGAAACAGCAGGAGGATTATAAAAGTGAAAAGATGATAATATTGGAATAATAGTTGATGCGAGCCAGATAGAATGTTTTTTTTTTTTAAATGGACAGCCAAAGATTAGTCTTTGTTTAATCATGAAGCTTTTCTGGATGAAAACAAACAAGCCTTGTTCAGTCTACAATATCTCAAAGGATAAAATACAAAACAATTATGCTGCCTCAAATTTATTCAAGAAAGAATAGAATGCAAAACAAATAACTCCTTGGTTGAGGGAAAAAGGTATGCCCTGGATTCAGTTTTCCCTTGACACGGCCTCTTATCCCCACAGTCTGTGTGCTCCATTTTTGAAAAATCTGTGAAGACTCTTCTCGATGATTTTGCACCCATGGTACCTCAACTGTGTGAGATGCTGGGACAGATGTATAGCACTATTCCTCAGGCATCTGCTATTGACCTCACCAGGCAGGTAGGTTTTTTTAGCACATTAATCTCTGGTAAATACTAAATTCAGAAAGGAAACTAATACTTGTTGAGTAGTTTTTCTGCCATCTGGTGCCCTTGGCTTTTCCTTTGATAAAAGAATTTTACAAAAAATGAAATATTTTTTCTCTGTTAGCTCATAGTAAATGGATTGTTTGTGCCTGTATGGACAAAACAATTGAAAAACTGCAATGTCCCTGAACTATATAATTTCTTGCTTCCTTTGGTATCTTAATACTAAAGCTTTTGCTGCTACTTAACCAATTAGTTGGTCCAAATATGAGTAGGGGGGGGGAGTTGGAAAAAAGTAGGTTTAGGAATGTGAAATAGAATGGAGAATATCATAACTATTCAATTTCTGTGTTCTCTTATATCCTCAGCTAGTTCACATTTTTGCCCATGAACCTGCCCACTTCCCACCGATCAAGGCACTCTTTCTGCTTGTCACATCAGTTACATTAACACTCTTTCAGCAAGGTATGTATGTCTTGGAACCCTCATTCTTGTGAAGCAGTTGCATTGGTAACAGTTCTTTCTAATTTAAAAAGTTCAGATTAGCCTGTAGGATTGCAGATAGTCACAGTTCCCTTGCTCAGATAATAGGCCCTGCTGAATGAGCTCCAATGGAGTTTAGACATTATATCCTGAGTAATGAGAATCAAATTGATTAGCTTGTTTCTCCCTGAATATCAGTCATCACTTGAGAGGGCAATACTGCTATCATGTTCTCCTCTCCCCTCCTTCCAGCTTTTTAAACTGAAACTGTGCCCTTTGGTTGTCAGATTCTCAATTTTAGTAGAAAGTCGAGTTAGTAGTCTTGTCCGCATAATGGTTGGCTTTGAATAAGACCTGCTAAGGAGTGTGTTGCTATTTAGTTCAGCATAACCAGAACAGTGTGTTGTACTCACATCTATCTGTTCCTGTGGCCCAATTTGTTCTGAAGGTTCTGCACCACAACTCCCCTGTCCTTCTGCTTACAGGTTTTCTCTCAGAGCTCTGCTGATTTCCTAGCAAGTGTTGGATTTGCCTTTTGCTTCTGCGGAACTGCCATACTGCCATTAAGTTGTCCCTAATTGAAGGGATAAGCTTAGAGTATGTAAATAATTTCAATAAAATCAATATGCAGTAGCATGGTAGTAGGGTATCTGGTCCCATCCCCTGGTGGTTGGTTAGAACTTGGAACTTGGAATCAGTATTTGAGTGATAACCTACTAATGCCTGGTTTCATTAGGCAGAACTGTGGCATCAACACAGAGGAAGATGAGTCTCATGGTGCATGATGCTGAAAAGAAGAGTGGTTATCAGCAATCATGCTGGTCTTTCCCTGTTAAAAATATTTCAAAGTTTTATACTTCCCAGTCAAGTGAACATTTTGACAAGCATGAAAGGAACATAGTGTGTTGGGATGGCCATTAGAGTTCAAATGGATTCTAGAACTTGTATTCACTCACATCAATATTGGATTTGTCAATAGACTCTAGAATTATCTTCAGGGACCAAGTTTTTTTAAGATAGGTATCCAGTGCAAATATGCTAGTTCTCTAAAAGAAGTTGATGTCCAGTTAGTTCCTGCTTCTCTTTGTCTTCCCTGCTAGGATGCAGTCAGTTTCCCCTTCTTATCCCTGGTGCTTGGCAGGGGAATCTGGGCGACATGCCTATTCCTTTGCACTTTCTTTCTGTTCTTGGGTTTCCAAGCTCCATGATTTTTGTATGTTTTGTTTCTTTAACTTGCTTCAAGCTGCTCATGTGCCTGCCCTCTCCAGCCCACCCTGTTGCACCCTCCCCCCCAACCCTTCCCTTACTCCTGTTTTCACTTGTAAATTCTTTCTGTATCACATAACTATATGATGTTAAGTTGCTGTTTGTATGATTTTTCTCTTCAGTTACATCTTTATTATATTTTTAGGGCCCAGGGATCATCCTGATATTGTTGATTCATTTATGCAACTCCTGGCACAGGTGTGTTTTAGTTTCTTATTCATTCACTTTCTGTTCTCTCTCTTTCTCTTTTTTAATTCAATTTAAACCTATTTTAGCTTTCTGTTGACAACGTTTTTCCTTTTAGTTGAATATCGAGTTTCTCATCTGTTTCCGTGGAAGTTGAAAACAAAACATTATCCCTTTTCTTAGGTATAGGTTTGTCCCTGCCTCTCTACATAGAAATGCAACAAGACTTCTAGATTGGATTTGGTTCAGGTCATGTGCTGTGACCTGAAACAGGAGGAACCTTTGGAAAATGGCGAATGCAGTTCAAAAACTTTAAAAATCCATTTTGTATATGTTTGGCTGTTTGGCTCTACTGATTCTGAGCTCTTAACAAATCCAGAGTCTCCAGTTGTTGGGTAGAACTCAGTGATGTAGTGGGTTACATCCAAACTCCTAGGAGAGAAACCTGATCTAATGTGAGTAACAGGAAATAAGAAACTTGATTTGTCTAAGTGCTTTCAAAGTCTCTTGGTGCTCCATCCTTCTTCACTCTTGTTGAGATTTCCTAGGTTGGGTTGTTTTTTTTTTTTCAGATCATGAATTTTCATGCCATCTTGTCTCAAATGTTGTTGTAATTATATAATGTACAATGCAGTGAGCAGTGAGGTACTGCTGGGATAATTCAGTTTGGGAATAAGTGGACCGTGAACTGCTTTTGGCTTGGATGAGCAATACCTTTACTGGAAATCAGCTGCAGCACTACAAATTAATGAAGCAGGGAAGGGCATGATCTTTGATATCATCTGATTCTCCTGACTACAGCAAGATGCTCTCCTCTTGGCGCTGATTTATTGTTGCTTGATAAGTTTTTTATAGGCTGTGATGTGGAAAGTGTTTTAGCACCTAGCATCCCCTTGTGACAGATTTTAAAACTTGCAGCCATAATGCAAATACATTTCATATTTTTTTCTTCTGCAGAACTAAAGATCTCAGAAAAATATGAAATTTTAACAATACTTTAAGAATCAGGGTATCGCCTTCTTAAAAATGCTTTTTCTTTACCTGATTGAGGAGGTATTATCTACGCATTTGCATTTATGCACAAACAGTGAAATCAGTTGATAGTTTGTACATGTAACCGTATGATAACTTTATTCTTGGCATAGGTTTGAAAGAATATTGTTGTCTTGGGAGATACTGAGGGCTTAACTCCAACAGACTAAGAGAAAACTGAATGTTTGTAAATTGGAAGAGCTTTTACAGAGGGTTTGAGAAATCACATTCTGAATGAGGAGAGGAAAGTCTAGAGCAGTGGTTCTCAACCTTCCTAATGCCGCGACCCTTTAATACAGTTCCTCATGTAGTGGTGACCCCCAACCATAAAATTATTTTTGTTGCTACTTCATAATTGTAATTTTGCTACTGTTATGAATCGTAATGTAAATATCTGATATGCGGGATGTATTTTCATTGTTACAAATTGAACATAATTAAATTCTATTCCATTCCATTCCATTCTATTCTATTCTATTCTACTCTCTTCCATATTGTCTATTCTATTCTCTCTTCCATATTGTCTATTCTATTCTCTCTTCCATATTGTCTATTCTATTCTATTCTATTCTATTCTACTCTACTCTATTCTACTCTACTCTACTCCGGTCCGGTCCGGTCTGGTCTGGTCTATATTCTATTGTATTCTATTCTACTCTACTCTACTCTACTCTGGTCTGGTCTGGTCTATATTCTATTCTATTCTATTCTATTCTATTCTATTCTATTCTATTCTATTCTATTCTATTCCTATTCTATTCTATTCTATTGTATTCTATACTATTCTATTCTACTCTACTCTACTCTACTCTACTCTACTCTACTCTACTCTATTCTACTCTATCCTACCCTACTCTACCCTACCCTACCCTACTCTACTCTACTCTACTCTACTCTACTCTGGTCTATATTCTATTCTGTTCTATTCTATTCTATTCTATTCTATTCTATTCTATTCAACAATTTAGGTTGTCTTCTTCCTGGTTATTCGAAAAAGATTCAGTTATAGAAATGACAACTTTCCGATCATTCTCTACATCTCCCAGCTTTGATTTGGAGTGAAATGAATCCCAAATTGCCCTTAGTATATTTTTTTATTTCAAAATGGTCAGGGAGGAGGGTAATTTCCCTAAGAACCGCCCGCCGTGGTGCTCGAGGAGCTCCTGTCTCTCAGCCCCCCCCCCCTTTCAAGGAGGAGAGTTCAGGTGGGGGGAGCAGAGGGAAAGTGTTCTCTTCTCATGGAGGAAATTGGCCTCGGTAGCTCGCCGTACGTGAAGCCTTAAGCAGCATGAGAATTGGAAGAGCGAGGGGTTCCACTTTCCATCCCTGCTGCGGCGCTTGCAGCTTTGTGGGTTGGTACTTTCACGCTCGTGGGATTCGAAATGTCACAATGGCTCAGAACGTTCAGAGTGTTACATTGTCTCTCACGCTGCCCATCACTTGCCACATTTGCCTGGGGAGTGAAACGTGTCCGGGCCCGATGCCCCACTCCCTTGCAAAATGCGCGTGGGACGCAGGAAAAAGCCCCCTCGATGGAGGAGAGGAGGAGAAGCGCTTTTAATTCCACGCATTCTTTTTTCTTTTTCTCCCCCCCCTCCACCCATTTCTTGCGTGGCTTTAAATGGGCGATTATTTCTGAATTCTAGCTTTGTCCCTAGCTTTGGAAACGGCTCACCGAAAACTTTATAAGCGGTATGTCAAGCCCCTGGGTTTGACATGAACAAGTGGGGGACAGGGAAGGAGCAGCCAGCGGCCAGCCTACATCCGTATGCCGCCCCGGGGTGCTGCCTGAGTTCCGTGGACCAGCTGGGAGTCGGTGAGGCCGCCGTGCACTGCCCAGCTCCCGAAGATCAGCTGGGAGTCGGCGAGGCCGCCATGCACCGTGGCTGCCTCCCTCCATTGACACGGACACCGGGGAAGTCCCTACCACCGGCTGGGTATCAGAGGCATGCCAGCCAGACGCCGGAGGAACCGCCTCTTACTTCAACTGCCCCTCGCTCTCACTGGACACAGGGGGAATCCTGAAAATCAGCTGGGCGTCTGTGGCAAGTCAGCCAGACACTGGAGGAACTGCCTCCCGCCGCGGCCACCTCTCCCTCTCGCCGGGTACCGGGGGGAATCCCCGGAAGCCAGCTGGGCAGTGGAGACGACCGGCTGGACGTTGGGGGGTTGTCTCTTGTCGCCGCCACCCCTCCTGTGTTGCCAGTGGTCAGGGGAGGCTGCCGGTTGCCGGGGGAAACTATGGCCTCGTAGAAGAGCATGGAGTCTCAGTTCCTAAGACCATCGGAAATATGTATTTTCCGATGGTCTTAGGCAACCCCTGTGAAAGGGTCGTTCGACCCCCAAAGGGGTCGCAACCCACAGGTTGAGAACCGCTGGTCTAGAGGAAAGCAGTAGAAGAAAAAAAAACCTACCTAGTCCAATTTCACCAACTGAGGGTCTCACAGTATCTCAGAACTGTTTCAGCTAAGCAGCTCCAGAATCTTAATGTTCAGGCTGTCTCTATCTACATCCTGCCACAAGATGTAACAAGAAACTTCTTAAAAGCAAAAATGATAGGGGCTGAAGAAAATGGGATCTAAAAGATTCAAAAGATTGTTTTCTAAAACTAAGAATTCTAGGAGAGATGATTATTTCAGGGCTTTTCAACCGGTGGCACGCATACCACTGGTAGTACTTTAGCACCTGGCAGGTTGTACGTGACCCCTAGCCAAGCGTAGCGGGGGAGGGAACAAGCTAAAGTGGCACTGCACAGGCCTGGAGGTGATCAGCTGAAGCTTCAGGATTCAGCAGAAGCCCCAGGATCTGCGTGCTTGGCTACATGCTGATTGGAGCTTCCGGCACACCCAGAAGAGAAGAGGAGGAGGAGGAGGGGGGAGAGAGGAGAATCTATAAAAGGAGCAGGTTTTGGTGGAAGAGGGAGAGAAAAAAAACATGGAGAAAGAGAGAGAAGAGGCTTTTGTTAGCAAAGTGGTGAGGAGAGAGCAAGCGGCCTTTGCAAGCAAAGTGTGAGTGAGAGAGCAAGGGAGAGGCTTTTGGGAGCAAAGAGTGAGAGAGAGAGAGCGCACGAGAGAGGCTTGTGAGCAAAGATTGAGTAAGCGAGCGAGTGAGTGAGTGGCTTCTGCGAGCAAAGAGTGAGTGAGAGTAAGTGAGAGGCTTTTGCCATACAAAGGGTGAGAGGGAGGCTTTTGCGAGTGGTGAGAGAAAAAGGGAAAAGTGAGGGGGAGAAGGGAAAAAGAAGAGACATTGACTTCTGACTTTCTGTTGCAGTAGAAGGAAGCATTAACATTGAACCTCAATTTCTTATTTTTCCATAATATTATAAACTAACCATTTCTATAACAACAAATGAATTTAACCAGTAAAGCCCAAAATCTCCCCCCCCCCTTTTTTTTTTAGTCATCAAGTTTTTGACACCTTGCTAAGCACTGGTGGTACTCGAATATTGTCATGTCCTAAAAGTGGTACAATCTGTGAAAAGCTTGAAAAGCCCTGGATTATTTAACTAGATCTATGTCGAAGTTTTAAAATTCGAATGGATTGAGCTAGTATTTGTATTGTACTGTATCAACATATGCATTCCCTCCCCCATTGTCTTACTATTTGAATACATTTTTTAGCACTAGAAAATTTATGAGACACTGACATTAGAAAAAGGTTTATTGGGTTTTGTTGACATAATAGTACTGTAGTACTGCTTACTGTTGCTCACTAGTTTGTTTCAACACTAATTAAAAATACAGATAGTCCCCGATTTATGATCACAGTTGAGCCCAAAATTTCTGTTGCTAAGTGAGACGTTTGTTAGGTGAATTTTGCCCCATTTTATGAGCTTTCTTGCCACCGTTGTTTAAGTGAATCACTGCAATTATTAAGATAGTAGCACGGTTGTTAAGTGAATCTGGCCTTTCCGTTGATTTTACTTGTCAGACAGTCGCAAAAGATGATCACATGACCCCAGGACACCCCGACCGTTATAAATATTAATCAGTTGCCAAGTGTTTGAATTCTGATCATGTAACTACGGGAATGCTGCAATGGTCATATGTGTGAAAAATGGTCATAAGTCACTTTTTTCAGTGGTGTAACTTTGAACAGTCATTAAATGAATGGTTGTAAGTCAAGGACTGCTGTACATTGGCGTACTACATTCTACAACTCAGAGCCTGTCTTCTTCTCTTCTTTATGTCCCTTATAGAGATGCTTTTCATAGCAGAAATAAACAGTTTCTGTAATCATATACATATAGTATCATCCCGATGCTATATAATGAATAAAGGTACTCAGTGAGTGTACAAACAATATTTAACAATAATTTTATATAGAGCCTTTGGAAACTAATTTGCTTCAGCTCTAATACATTATGACCATGCTTTTTGAAATTCTGTCTTTCTTTTCTGTTCTGGCAATTTTTCAAGTATCTACTTTTCCCAAGAAGATGTAGAGCAGGAGTCCTAAAACTCTGGGCCGAGGCCCTCTAGTGGGTTGTGAGCTATTTCCAACCAGGCCATGGAAATGGCGTGTGCGCATGCATTCCTACTTGTGCGAGCAGCGGATGAACTTGTGCAGGTGCGCTCCATTTGCGTGAGCAGCCAGCGCGTGTACATGCCACTTGTGCAAATGGAATTGCATGCGCTTGCCAGCTGCTCACGTGGAACCATCCCCCTCCTCCCCCACCGGTCGACAAAGCCAGAAAGGTTGGGGAACTATGGTGTAGAGCATTAAATCAATTTACGATGCCTATAAAACATTATTCTAGACTCCCAGATTTAACTTCATAGGATATCAATTGATCTGTAGAATAGACATTTCATTCTGAATAAGTCATAAGACATCAATAAGCTTCTAACAAAAAAAAAACAGATTCCTTCAAAGACAGGGAAGTTATTAAACAGCATATCAGGCTTCTTTAAGAAATCCTTTCAAAATGCATGTAGAGCAGATTCTTTTCATGTCTGCATAGTGGTTTTGATTGTGCCCTTGAAGAAACCAAATTATTAAAATCTTGTAAGGTGCCTGCATTTTCTTACAAAACTTCATTCCTGCATACAAATAAAAGCAACATTTCAATTTTGTTCAAATAATTTTATGTTATAGTGGAACTAAATGTGGGACTAGATTCTCACTTAGTGCATCATGAGATAACTTACATTCCTATAACTCTCCATACAGCTTAAATATCTGATAATTTCTTGAAGAAAACAGATTAAGTAATTATTAACTTTATGCTTTGTCTTCTGATCTGGCAGATGTACATATGAGCTCAAAAGGACAATAAATAAAATACATTTACTAGTCAGTAGATAAAAATCTCCATCTTCCAAGCACTTTGATAAAAATTGTTTGGGTCACAAACTTAAATGTATCAATGGAATCTGACAGATTGCCCCATGAAAAACACTAAAGTATATATGACATAAATGAAAGAACCCTACAAATATTTAGGATGACCGATGTTTTATATTTGTGTCACATGAAGCGGAGCTTCAATTGGTGATGTAAATGAAACAGACTGGAGAAATAGGGAAAAGTGTTGCTTGTTTTATTTATGTATTTATTATCAATTTATTATCAATCAATCAATAAATAAATAAATAAGTATATTATAGAAAATTCTGAATCAGTATTAATCATCTATGTTTTTGAATTATAGATGAGATTTTTAAGAATGGTTTAAGTTAAAAAAGCATCTCCTGGAATTTAATGACTCTCTAAAACAGGCAAGAATATACTGTAATAAGAACACATTAAACCTTTCTTATATTTTTTTATAGTCTGTTTATGGACAAAACACCTAATTTAACAACTGCTGTTTTTTACACTCTACACCAGAGGTCCCCAACCTTTTGGGCACCAGGGACCAGTTCCGTGGAGAGAGGTTTTTTTGCGGACTGGAGGGGGTGTGGTTTTGTGTGCTGCCTGCATCTTGCGGGTGGGGCTTCGCTTGTTTACACAGACTGGTTTCTGGCCTGCTGTGGACTGGTGCTGGTCATGGACCGGGGGTTGGGGACCCCTGCTCTACACAACTAGTGGCCCCTTTTCAAGCATGTTCTCTTAAGTCACATTAAGTTAAAATACCCTGGGTAGATTGCCTTACTAGCCCAGGAGAACGTTTGATCTATTTACAGTGAAAACGTCTGGCGTGAATTTCATTAGAAGCCATCATTGGGAGATTGAAATGCTTATACCTAGCAGAATTGTCAGTTCTCTAGAATAAAGAGATTGACAAACTAATTTTATTGCCTTCCCAACCAACTGAACCAGAATACCGTTTTCTTTTATGACCTTGTAATCCCTTGTATCAGGGTGGAGTTGGGGTGACTGAATGGAGCTAAGCATTTACTGTCTGGATGCCCTTCTTGATGCCTATGCAAAGCTCACAGCAGATATTTTCTCTTTGCGTCCAGAGAGAGAAATATCTGCCGCTACCTAGGATCAAACTCACAAAGCTCTGCCTCTAGGCCACCACACTGTTCTGAACTAGAATACGGTATTGAAATATAATTACACCACAACTCTCTTTTCATTATTCCCAATTTAAAGATAATCCAATAAGGCTGATTTGCCTTAGGATTTATTAGTATTAAATTAAATGATGATCCTAAGTTTGATATGATTGGCAGTTGGTTCTCCTGAAATTGGGAAGCTGTATCAACTTCAATTATTCAAAACAGAGTAGGCAACCAGGTACCTTTCTAATCTTCTGGCTTCATAGATTTTTTCATAGATATTTACTCTTGGCCATAGGGGTGGCTTAAAAATATCTGGAATACAACAGGTTGCATACATACTTAAAATATAAAAACTTTAAATCACAAGTCCTTCAAATGGCTTCCACATCCTAGTTTTGACATACAATTATATATATATATTTAATTTCAAGGGCAGTTCAGATAAAAGAGTTAATCTAAAAGTGTAAAATATTAAGAACCAGCAAAGAATTTTCTGGACAACTTTATACTAGTCATTCCCTCTGAGCTCTAGGAAGAAGGTAACAACAAACAATTTCTGAATTTCTGCCTACAAAACTGTAAGGGCTTTCCATGTAGTTGCCAGGAGTGAAGACTGAGTTGAAGGCAAATAAAGAACATGTCTGGTGATGTATTTTCATGAAACTTATTTGGTGTTCGTAGAAATTAATTATTTACCATTTTGCTTGTTTTTCTTTGAATATAAAAAGATTGTTATACAAATTTACAAAGGTATATTGTGATAGAGATGTATTTCGTTCTCTATTTGGCATTGCTTTCTGTGTTGTAAGGGCCAGATATGATTCAACATACTTGCTTTTCATTTTAAGTTGCTGTAAGATATATATCTAAATAAAAAGTTGTGTGCATATGGTAAGAAAGCAGACTTTTTCTAGTAAAGTAATGGCAAAATATACTGTTGAAATTCATAAAACTTTTAAGATAGTTTTAGCAATGTAAAATTGTTACAAAGTCCACAAGTTAACACCAAGGAGGTTAAAAGAATGCTTAGAACAAATGAGAGTAAAATAGTTTGTTTCTTTCATCAGGAAAAGGAACATGACTAATCTGATTGCTTTTGTTTGTAAGTGAAACAAAGAGAGCAAGAAGAATAGAACACAAAGATATAATAACAAGTCATTGCAGTTAAAAATATTATCTTAGAAATCCAATCGCTGTTCATTATGCAACAGCACTTGTAGTATTTTAATGATAGAAAACCTGCCTAATAATGTGGTTAGACAACAGATCCATTTGTACTAGAGGTAGAAATGCCATGGTTACTCAGGCACAGGAGTTGGAGCTGTTGTCCATGGTGCTGAAAGATTCATTGCTGTTAAAGGTATCTTGAAAATCCTGTTGTTCTCCATCATAGAAAAGACCTACTATTTGTAATGTTTTAGTGATCACTATACTTCAGTTGTATCGAATTTGATTAGGTGATGCGGAATTTGCTATTTGACTAAACCTTTGTGCTTAGGAATGTCATGATAACTCAGACTTCAGGAGAAAAGTACAGGGACTAGGAATTGCAATGCATACTGCCGACAGACTATGTGATGTTCTTGTTTCTACTTTCTGTGATATTGTAATATGTTTCTAGGCAGATGTAGATATAAAAAAAGTAAACCCAAATACTTAGTATCTAATTAATCCTTATCCTGGTTATCTAGAGTGGAATTTCTATTCCTGGGTATATCATTATTTGTAACAAAGTAGGAATACTAGAAAGCTGTTTTCCAGATAATAATTAAATTTCATGTTTCTTCAGAGGCTCCTCCTTACCTGGACCCCTGTGCTCTTGAATTATAAAGACACATGCATCTTATAATAATTTCCCTTTTTCCCAGTCCTGGGTTACTGTGTTTTATAGCTGATGGCCAGGTAAGTTGCACATGCAAGCCTTTGCCAATGGTTCCTGTGTGGCAATTGCTTGTCCATGGCTTGCCAGAGCTGTGTTTATTGTCTCTGTATATATGTGTACCCTGCAGGCACTGAAACGGAAACCTGATTTGTTCATGTGTAGCAGCCTGGATGCCAAAGCAGTATTCCATTGTGGTGAGTAGGCAAGTGCCTTAGACTGAATTGCTTTAAAATCACTGTGGGAAATGACTTAGACAAATGGGTAACAATCCTTACAACTTGAGATGATTGTAAAGAATGGGGGAAAGTTCTTGATATGGAAATGTCCGCAAAATTAAACAAAACCCATTGTAAAGAGACTTTAGGGAGAAAAGCTTACTTTTTTTTTCGACTTACCAAAAAGTCTGTCATCATACAAGCTGAATATTTATTGCTTCCTTCTAGCTGTGATCTCTCTGAAGTTTCCTGAAGCACCAACTGTCAAAGCTGCCTGTGGCTTTTTTGTGAGTATTTGTCTTTGGTAGAGTAGATCCATCATTGGCTAGTGGCACCAGAGAACCATAATACGAAAAGCAGTTGTACTGGGACAGAGCAGCAGAACATCCAAACTGAAGAGTGAGAGCCTCTCCCAAACTGAACGAAAGGACTTGCTTTCGCTATTACTTCTTGGGGATATCTCTTTTTATGTACTTAATGTTTGTATTAAGGCTTGTAAATAAAATGGCAATCTCCCCATTATATTTATTTAAATTCCGTCTATAGGAGAGGGATATTTCCTGTTTGAAATTTGAGGGTTTTGTTCTGCTTTTTTGCCCACTTAGACCTTTTTGTCCATTTGTTTGTTATAGACTGAATTACTGCCACGCTGTGGGGAGATTGCACCTGTGGGACAAGTGGTGCATGAGAATGGCAAAATGTTGCTACAAGCTGTAATTGAGGTAAGCAATGTGTCTTTCACAATCTGGCAACAGTGAAAAAGGATAATTGGGAAACATGCTGCTCACACAGAAGCTGCATTTTCTTTTAATTGCTTTAATTAATCTTATTAATTCAGTTTCCATGTTATCAGAATATTTACAGGATTATCTGCAGCATGATTCTGTCCACGGTTACATTCACATAAATTCCACTAAAGTAAGTGGAGCTTATTCCCAAGTATGTTTGCATAGGATTGAAATCTGTTTAAGGCTGGGGCCTTAAATATTCTGAAGCACTCAGCCTGGCCCTTGGTGTAATCTACTGGCATCTTCATATGACATAATGTAAAGCTCACCCTGCAGTACAATCTTTTGCAAGATTTGACTGGATTTACTCGATCCTTGCAGGGTATAGGTGGCCAAGCTTCACGAAATTTGATGGATCATTTTGCTGAGATCCTTTTTGCTCTCAACAAGCATTGCTTCAGTTACCTGAGTGTGTGGATCAAGGAAGTGATGCAGCAGGATGGCTTTCCATCCACCCGTGTCAGCCCTGAGCAAAAGGACATTTTTAGCCAACAAATTCTCAGGTAAGTTTCTTCTTGGCATATTTACAGAGAGACAGAATTGTGGAATAATTAATTTGAGTAGGCTCTATAAATATTATTCCATGCATTCTATCTAGTGCCTAGTTCTTTGAATTCTCAACAGCTTTATCCTAAATTCTCTTTTAGTACATTGTTCAACTGAAGTCCAGATGATGAAAATCTTAATTAGCCCTATACAGCTAAGTCTCCTGAAGAATAATTCACTTAATTAATATTTTATAAAAGAAACAGCACTTATAGTATTACTTTAATATACTAAAAGTGTACAAGTTATTTGTATAGAGTTCGATAGAAAAAAATGGTACACAGAAAATATATTTTCTCCTTTTTCTGTCTTCTATAGCCTATGGTGCTACACTTGTAGGCAAACCAACTGGAATGCATGTTTTTTTCCTTTGGGGTGTCCCACCACTTTTCCAAAGTGAAAAGCTACTGGTTAGCTAAGATCAGGCAAACCCCTCAAAAGTGGTCCAGCTGAACTGTTGCTGCTTATGCTTCACACTATATCCCTGCAAATATGCCTGCTCTGGAGCCAGATGACATCAATAGAATGGTGGCTTGCATTTTAATAGAGCTTGCTGATAATATTTTGTGCCCAAGAGCAGAAGGCTTCAATTCTTCAGTCTAATTGTCATTGCTCCTTGTAGAAGGGGATGTAATCCCTCCTGAAGTATTTGCTGAAAGGCTATAGGAGATTGGGGTTCCACATGTTGGCCCTTCTTAATGTCTCCTTGATTCTACCCACTTAAGCAGAGAACTCTGAAAAACATTATGTAGACCTTTGCTTGAATATGAATATCCTTCAGACATCATAGATTCTGCTTTATCAGGATCTGTAGCTACAAATATTATATGCATTTTTAAATGCACATAGAACTTGTGAATGAAAGCAAATATACATGTCCCAGGACAATGCTGCAAGACCCAATCTGGGTTGGTCACTGGGACCAAAGGTTTAGTCTTCTGAGCTTTAGGACTTGTGCTGGAGCTCATCTACAGGGAACTTCTCTTTACTGGAATGTGCACATTCCGGTTGAAAAAAATTCCCCGAGGATGGGCTCCAGTACGAGTCCAAAAGCTCAGAAGACTAAACCCCTGGTCCTGGTGACTGACCCAGATTGGATCTTGCACATAGAATTTGCTTCAAGACCTCCCTGCTCTATGCCCGCTTAGGTCTGGGATTAAAAGAATAGAAGCCAGCACACATGACAAATCTGTGGACTAGACTAACATGTATAATTCTGTTCTGTACTTTTTAATCCACATTTGTACCTCAAAAAAGTTCCAGTGAGTATGGCAACAAGAATAATTGTTTGGGGCATATCTAAATGGACTGCTCCGTCTGTTGATTCTTTATTGGCAAGTCCTGAAACTTTACAATCTATCATCTTTTAGTGTTACGTGCTGATATTTCATCATCCCTCCTTTGTGTTAGCAGAGAACGTGTGAATAAACGACGCGTGAAGGAGATGGTAAAGGAGTTCACATTACTTTGCCGAGGACTGCATGGTACTGAATACACAGCAGACTACTGAGGAGACCTGTGTGTCAAAAGACTGCAGCATGAACAGATCCGGTTTTATGCCATCGCCTGAAGCTGCTACCAAATTAGCTGATAGAATGGTAACTTTACAATTAACCTACCCTGGTTGCTCCTCTCAAGAACAAGCTGTTTCCAAATCCCTTCTGCATATTCAGAGCTAACAGGCTCAAGGACATTGGAGCAGAGGTTGGAGCAGAGCTGGACGGTCCCCTGCCAACCGCAGGACTAGTGTACCAATTGCCACTTTCCTCCTTGGCACGCTCCTGTAGAAGTGTCTGTGATATTGTCTATTTCTAAAGAGTCTACCTTTTACTTGCATGAGGAAGCTTGTGTCTGATTGAAGTGAAGGTCCTCCTGCCTTGAATTACATTAAGGCTACTTCTAAGCTGCTGTGGTTAGTCTACTGGGGAAGTGGCATACTTTAGGGGCAATATGGGCAGGAATGGAATACAGCTGTAGCAGAGGCAGTTACAAGAATATGATCTGCCCTAACGTGATTGGTGCAATAAATAATACTAAGAGTCCAACAAGGTATCGCGAAGAGGCAACACCATCTTTTTTTGCTGTGGCATTCCTCGGAGTGCTGGCAAGTATGCTACATTACCTCTTTAAATGTTGCTGCTGCTGCTGCTGCCTCTGCACATTCTGCAGGACATCATCTTATAATACATTAGCCTCTTCACAGATATGAATAAGTGAACGTGAGTGTTTCGGTCTGCTGCAGGGAAAGAGTTGCAGCTGCCTTCATGAATGGTTTGAAAACCCTTTGCGTTATCTCTGCTACTGACAATTGATATGTACAATGGATCTGGGTTGCAACAGAGCTGGTAAAGCTGGAATGAAGACAGAGGAATTTTTTCGTATAGGAAATTCTTGTCCTCATAAAGATTTGGGGATTAATTAAACTAAACCACTTTACAACCTAGATCCATTTCAATGGCAATATATTAATGCAACTTCTCTTCTATGGGCCTAGTTTTACCAGATTTCATACAGACTCCTAACTCAGGTTTGCTGCTGATCCTTTTCCTATGCCCAGCACTGGGTAAGTTAAAGTTAATTCACACAAAATCATCTTTGCTGTATTAATGAAACTTAAAAACATTTAAACACCTATTACCTAAAGAACAATATCTAAATAACAGTGTGAAAAGTACAAGGAATTTATGTAGACTTGGCAGATGTTTCTGCATAAAAGCACAAAAAGCACATTTTGGGAAAGAAAAACTATTATGGGATAATGTAATAGGAAATTAATTGAACATCTAAGTTCTTACATAAAATAAGCATGGTAACAGAGTTAATTCTGCACACCATGATACATCAACTCTGATGTAAAGTGGGGAAGAGATTGAAGAACCCATCCTGGAAGAAATCATGCTTGTGGAAAGATCATATTTTTAGGAGACTCTTTTTACTACTGATAGGGGCTAAATTAGTGTTTTGCTGGTATCTGAATAATCTTGGACTCATCCGATCCAAAGCTCTTCCTCTAACCAGTGGAAGTATTTTTCTGCCTGTTGGAACCATTCGTCTTTAAAATGCTTCACTAGAGCAAAAATATGTGTGGTAGGGAAAAAAAACCACTTCCTCTCTTGGTTGCATTTGAGGTAACACAGCCTTGGAAGTGAAGACTCATGTACTATTTAATTCCCTCCCCACTTCTTTAAAAAGGATTGTTCTCTAATACATACTTCTACATCAAATCTTGAAAGTGGGATGTTCTAACTTCTATTACAGTTCTTCAGTGAAAGAATTGTTCTAACATAATCAGATGTTTTTATTCTGAGTTTTGAAAGCAAAGTGCAAACCCTGTGCAAGTAATTTCTGCTTTCAAGGGCAGGAAGAATGAATCCTTGTGGTCTTTCCCCCCCCCCTCCCCTGGCATGGCATGATTATAGATAAGTAATATACTACAAAGAATGATTCATTTCTGAACATGGAGAAGAAACAGATTTTTGAGGAAGAAGACTTGGTGAACAAATGATGAATTCCATTTCCATATCCAAACTTAGCTTCATAACAGCTATACCGTGTGCCTTGTGGTGGGGTTTATAGACTATAGCCTACCTGGTTGTTCAGCATTGTTGCTTTCTTAGCTATGTCAGCCTCAGTCTACAACATAAAGACATTTTATGATCTAGATGAACATGAGACATTGAACAGGTGCCTGAAAAATTGAGAAGCACAGAATACACACACACATTGAAATCTACCTTGAACAGAACCAGCCTTAAGCTATTCTATTTTATGAGTATTTTGCCTTACCTTCTTGACCATGTGAGAGGTTTAGAGGTGTTGTTGTCACCATTTTGTATCTCACATTTTCACAATGGGTAATTATGAAAAATAGCTTATGTGGTTGTTTCCAAGGCCTGTCTACATAAGAGTATCTCCAATCACGCCAACAAAACAGTCTAGGAGAAATAGCTATGGTTGGGTACTAGGTACGTTATCATGAAATGATACAAGGTAAAAGTTTGCTAGGATTCTTCTGAAGGAAATTGATCTGTACACTAAAAATGTTCCCTCCTCCAGCTGAAATCTCACTTCTTACTTCAGATCCATTTGGCTAAAGTTTAGTAATAGTGAATTACTTCCAGCAAAAATAGGCAAATTTCTTATATTTCTTTGCCATGTACCAAAAGTATTTCTATCTTGTTTCCCTGGAGTTTATTTTCCTGGAATATTTTATACCAGTTTGTAATTCCATAATTTTCACTGTTTCTTCTGCTGAAACACTCCTATTGCTGTATTACATCTCTAAGAGTCCCTTACATTAAGTAAGTGTATTTTGCTTTAGCATTCTTCAATATTCCTTCCCGCTCCAATAACCCTCCAGATACAGAAAGTGGCATAGTTACACACAGCATCTTATGGAACAGAGATGGCAAAGTAATGCTTCTGCTCAGGATACCTCTTATTTAGTGCTAATGGGCTGGTGGACACCTCTCTTGGTGCTTGCCAAACTTCCTTCTCTGCCCGTTTCCCCCCCCCCCAATTTTGAAAATGAAATCCTAATATGCCGTTAAACAAAACATCAATCTCAAGTATAATCTAGATTTCCAATAGTGCCTCTTGGCCTCATGTAGACTCCAGAATCCACAGTGGCTATGAGGTTATGCAATACTTGCAAAGTGTTTTGCTTTGTCAAGATTTCAATGGAAATAGTCCTTTGAAGCTTCATTTAGTAATAACAACCTCAGTGCACAGCACAAATACAGTAGCAGCCTTAGTAAAGCCAGTTGAGATCATATCTGGAGTTTTCATCAAGTCAGAACAACAAAGCTCCATGAGATGCTTCACCAACCTGAGGTAAAGGGACACACCTCCACTAGGCAAGACACCTCTCTGAGAGGCATTGTGGATTATCTGCCTGCACTTTGTTTGGAAGAATGCCTACTTGGTCAAAACCAAAAGACAAAAATAAGCTGAGATACTGATGATGAAGCAACTTCAGTTTGGCTCCCTAGGAAGTGGGTGTTTTGTGACTTTCCAGATTCCAGTGGACATTTTTAGACATTTGTAAATTTCAAATATGCCTACTAACCTCAAACTTTTTGAGATACCTTGCATGATGGGAGTACATAAATGTAGCTTGATTGACTTCATGCCATCTTGTGGAAGCTAATTGGTTTGACTTCACATTAAGGATGTAATAAAAAAGAATATTATTTGTGAAAAGAAATGAAGTAGAAAAATCCATGTGCCGGATGACAAAAGTGCATACTAGGTGCTTGTGTATTTTTATGTTTCCCTGTGAAGGAACTTTTATGCATAAACACAATTTTACTCATTTAATAGAAAACTTTTCTGTGCCAATACAATTATGGCCAAAACAGCACTATTAAGAAATAAGAGAGATTTTCAAATCCTTTTATAAAAGCTTCCTACAGGCAACCATTTCAATATCCAATGAAGACTGAGCATCATTAAACGGAACATTGGTTGAAAAAGAAAATAGAAGGAGGTGAAAATCCTAAAGGAGGAAGTGGCCACCTAGAAGCCTGAATAGAAGCATTCCAGTTGGGTGGAGAAAATATAGCCGGGGCCTGGCAATAGTTTTGTTGCAAACAGACCAATTAAAGTCTGTAAGATTTAAATTGGAGATTTCCAATAACAAGTAGTCCACCATCCATCTAGATAATTATATTATCAATCTGCTCTTCTAGACACAATGATCTTTAATATTTGCCCAACATTTATTCTTCTGTACAGAATTTTATTTGATCCCCTGGGGGTTACAAAGATCAAGATTAGGATTATGCATGCTTCAAAGATGATTTGGAAGAAATACTTAGAATCTTACATAAGCATAGCATCTCTGTTATCCATTAAAGAGGCCCATGCAATGCAGTTCCTTCAACCTTTCTTTATAGAATATTTTTTATACAGTATCTTTATTCATTCTTGTGACCCTCTTAACTAATTTCTCTTTGTCGACATATTTAAGTGTGATCTCCAGAAAAGGACACCGTGCTCTGGAATAAAATGGAACTATGGCTACCTGTTACTTGGAGACTACGCTTTTATTAATTCAGTCTGGGAATTACATTAGGTGTTTTTTTTTCTTTTTTAGCAATTGCATAACTGCTGACTTCAGCTTGTGATCAGTAATGCTCACCCTACTGTTCAGCATAGTCTAAGCTTCTAATCAACAGAAATTACAACTGCGGACTAGTTTAAACAACATGGATATCTATAAATTGGCCACTAATGTGGATTAACCTTTGTCTCATTATTGGATAAACAACTTCAACGCACTTTTTTCAGCAGAGATCAACACTCGTTTTGTTAAAAAAATATTCCTCTATTAAAATAATAATATAACACTCTACTTAAAATCTGTTGAACTGTCTATCAACATATTGCAAAAAATGTTAACCTAGCCCACTTTATGCCCTGTACAAATAAGACTGTCAACAAATTCAAAAAGACCCACGTTCCATTAACCCATCCAAATCCAGCAAAGAATGAAGTCTGTTATCTGGTCAATGTCTTTTATATTCAGGGTTGGTCATCCACAAGGCTCATCTTCATAGGCAATGGCAATTCCCCGTCGTCCCACAATAGCTTTTTTTACTTCTGTTTGGCCCAGCTGTTGCTCCAGTCCCCGCCAGCTGCGGGACTCCAAGAATGAGGCTAAGATACAAAAATATTTCGCCAACTTTATTCCAAAGGCCACACAAGCTAAAAGTTATGAGAAACTGGTATATTGGTAAGGCATCATCTTTGACAAATTGATTATACGGATAGGGCATTATCATATTTACATTATGAATCCGAAATACTGTGTGAGAGGACATTGGTTAGGCCGTTTATCCTAGCTCTACCTCTATTAATTGCCTACTCGCAACTATGAATGGATTCAGGTAGTAGCGATGCAAGAAGTAAATATTTAATCAGCCTCAGTTTTTGAGATTCCACAATAACTACATCTTTAAATAATTGATTAATCAAAAGTACCAAGTGAGGAGGTATTTTTGCAACTGAAAGAGCATTACCCCCAACCCACATACCTGCTGGGCTGATCTGAGATACAGTCTGTAAATGGTTGCGACACATCACAGCTGTGCCAGAATTTGGCTCTATATCTGATATCCGGAAGGGATCAATAGAGCGCAACTGTCCAGTGATGAGTGAAATGCTGGGTTCGTTGTTGGTCTTTTCTGGAAAAAGGACATGGTCACAAGCTCCTGGAGATAAGAAAAAACAAGTACAGTATTAACTAAGTTTCATTACTTACAAAATGATACTCTATTATATATACAAAGACTGAATCAAGCATGCAGACCCTGATTAGAATCTTTCCTAACTGAGTGCAGGGATACGAATGGCAAAGAATTTGTGGGTTACTCTGGCTGTGGCTGACCAATAGCAGGACAGGACCAAAACAACAACAATAATAATAAATGTTGGAAGGGACCTTGGAGGTCATCTAGTCCAATCCCCTGCTCAGGCAGGAAACCTTATACCATTTCAGACAAATGGCTGTCCAGTCTCTTCTTAAAAACTTCCAGTGTTGGAGCATTCACAAGTTCTGGAGGCAGGTTGTTCCACCGGTTAATTGTTCTAACTGTCAGGAAATTTCTCCTTAGTTCTAGGTTGCTTCTCTCCTTGATTAGTTTCCACCCGTTGCTTTTTGTCCTGCCCTCAGGCGCTTTGGAGAATAGCTTGACTCCCTCTTCTTTGTGGCAACCCCTGAGATATCAGAAGACTGCTATCATGTCACCCCTAGATGGAATCTTGATGGATCTTGATGGAATTCTCTATTCATTTCACATTTTTGAACTTTCTTAGCATGAAAACTTCTATACTTTAAAAGGAAGAACGAATACTCTTACTCCCAGGTTTGCGTAAGATTCCTAACCCTTTTTGTAAGAATGGAAGCTCATATTTGCCCTCTAAAACAGCACCATGGTTTCTAGTGATTTTGAGGGTGAAAATACATAGAAATCAAGAGTAAATCCTAAAACAGGATTAATGGTGTCCAAAAAACTACTTCCCCATGCCATGCACACAAAGACCCCACATTCAACTTGGAAAATACAGCAGCTCTATTAATTTTGTAACATCATGCTATAGGGTATTACAATCTCTCTTTAACGCTTTATGCCCAAAGTATCAAAAGTTCCCTGTATTTATAATAAAGCATTCCTGTGCTTCCAGAGGAAAGCTTGAAAGTACACAACTAAGCAACTTTTTCATCAGTCAGAAATTAAAGGAATCAAAGGTCTCTTGAAAATGAACACTAAGCAATGACTGTTATTCATGCTCATTTTCTGAATCAGGGCATCTGGTATTACCTGGCAGAAGGTGGCGAAAGTCTGTAACATATCGGCCTGTCCAAGTCCGTGCTGGATTGCATGCTATTTCCAACTCATAGGGCGTGATCAGGGGTCGATAATAATCAGTGGAATTAAGCAAGGAATTCTGTGGGCAAGCTACCAGTACAAAGATATCCACCTCTAGAAAGTTTGCCAATTTTGCAGGATTAGGTTTACCCACAGCCAGTGTGTAAGCACGTTTTCCAGCACGGTGAATGATTTGGCGAAGATGCTCCAGAACAGACAAGTAATCTTCTACTCCAAGAGTACCCACCACAATACCCACTACTTGAGCATCTCGTGCCCGTTCCACTAGGTAAAGGCGTCGTCGCAGGGCCCGGTTCACATCCAGTGTTTCCCACCGGCCTTGTCCTGTCCTAGGATCAAAAGAACTAAAGGGACACTGGTTCCAACTCAGCATGAAGTTTGTAAGTTCTGGTCCTTCAGAACCTATATAGAACATACTGTAGTTTTCAAGACCATGATGTTCGTCTATTATAAAGCATCGTCCAAACTGCTGTATCATTCCAGAAATTGGCTGGCTTGGATCAAGATTTTTTTTACTATCCAACTGAGCAAAAACAACATTGGGATAAATTGATTGTAGCTTACAGGCCAGGTCATCTAAAAAAGTCGGAAAAAGTCATCCACCTGTTAATATTTGAGCAAATACAATTTAACCTAATGTATCTGCAGTTTCCCCAATACCTGACAATTCTCTGGTAACAACAGAGAAAGTTCCTTCAGTCAGACTAGAGACTGCAAGCAAAGCTAAAAGCTGGGTTAGCTGAGATACATCAAGATGAACGAGAATTATGAGCAAAAATGATCAAAGATATTCTTTAAAGATATAGCTAACACTGGAGAACTCACAGTGCTATTTCATTTAAAATTATTTGATTTTTCATATTGTTTTCTTCAGAAATTAGTAAAAGCTCTTGGCAGGAATTTTCAAGTCTTCCTCATTCTGTCTCTGGCTTGATTCAAATTACAAAATTATAAACAGCAATAACAGTAAAGCATGTTGGCACGGTTTTGACTTAATAGTTAATTCTAATAGCTTAGCTGTAAGAAACACACAATAGACACAAAGTCAGGATTGGCAGAATGGCAGATTTTAAGACTAGAAATGAGTATGTTATTTCTATGGGAACCTTCCCAACCTGACCTGAAATATCTCTTGTCTACCTATGTTCCCTCTCCAACAGACCCTTGCAGTGTATTTGTGTCCACACAACAATCTTCCTAGACTTACCAATAGCGTGAAAATATGCAGATTCACTCAGTACAATCACATAGGCTTGAAGGTCAGGGTACAACTCCTGGAAGACTTCCACACATCGCATCACATCTAGCTGTTCCTGGCAAAATATGTGTAATACTGGCAGTTTGCGACAAGGACTCAAACAGGCAGGGCCATAGTGCACTATAGCCTCGGCACCCACATGTTCTGCTGCCACTTCATCTACACAACAGCTAAAGAAAAACAACAGGATTAGCCATAGAAATCCAAGGACACATTTCATTAAACAACAACCAGTCCCAACATACAGAAAATTACTTTCTTTGTACTGAAAGTGGCCTCCCAGATACTAGACTCCCAACTAAAATCAACCCTGGAAACATGGTCAATAATATAACCCCATAAAACCTTTCACTCCATTTCCTTTCATTATAACATTCCACTGCATTGGAAGGAATAAAAATGTCAATGCAAACTTACCCTTGTATACTTAATTTTAATTTCCCATGTTTACTGAAGTCTAGTCATAATTAAATGCATATAAAATTCTTATTGGAGACGTCATGCTGTCTTTACAACAGCTGGATCTTCCTATGACCTTACCTGCCATATGATGTGTCTCCCAGGACATACATCTTGGCACCAGTTGCTATTTCCATCCTTGCAGCAACCTCTGCTGAATCTGGCAAAAGTTTATCAGGAAACTGAAGAGCAATCTATGGCAAGATACCAAGTTTATTCAAAATATTTCTACTATACGTATGTCAAACAAAATAAATGTGCATTTATTTACTCTCCCATCAATTTTTATCAGCATTGCATTGTAATTGTATTGTCTTTCTCGTAAGATGCAATAGAGTATATCCAATTCCAGAGGAGAACTGGCATCTTTATGTCAGGTCACAAAATAGCTCACCTTGGTGAAGCCATTGTCAGATACAAAAGCAGATGCTCTTTCCAGTTCATAAAAATCCTCTATCCCCAAAACTGGAAGACGACCACCTGCTTCTGTAGTAATCAGAGTCCGCTGAATCACTTCAGCTCCATCATTGCTGAATGCCGTTGCCATGATGATCTAAATCCAAAATTCAAAAAGTCAAATTATGTTCAGCCATAAGGATAATCCAATTTTGGCTCCACAAGCCTGATATATACAAATTGAGATTGATTTTGATGTCTGTAATAGCGCATACAGTACCCCAATTCTTATCTTTGATATGGCTCAGCAAAGACCCGATAATGAAAATAAATGGTTTTCGCAAAATGACAAGGGATTAAAGAAAATTAGAGTAAGGGTGGCCAGTGACATACCAACTGCGTTTCCAAAGAGCAGCTACAAGATATCAACAATATTCCATAATTGTTTCTTAACTAGCGTAGAGAAAAAAATACATCCCAACACCAGCCACGTGGATCATTTTATCCGCTTTCTTCCGGATGCCAACCGCAGCCACCAATTATTATTACTGTATGGAATTACTACCATACCCCTTTGCGTCATTAACGGGATTTTTTTCATCCAACAACAAATCCCGATATAGAAAAGTCGCCGGAAAAGCAAAAATGCTAGGCAGAGGCACTGTGGGGGTTGTAGTTTCATCCTCTTCAAAAATTAACCAATCGCACGATCCCAAGAGATTTACGTAGCTCCTTGAATCCGGTCACGTGTTGTGGAGTCCGTCGGTCAGTTAGTCCGTCAGTCGCATGGTCGGCTAATTCCTGGTCGGCTGTAGTCCGTGTTCAGGGCTTGTCTCCGCCATGTCCGGACTCGGGTTGCTGTATTCGGGACTGGGGCTGAGCGCGGCCGCCGCCATCGCCGGCATCGGTTAGTGATTGGAGCGAGAAACTCTCAAGGTTGCTGTTGGGGGGGGAGGGGGCGCCCGCTCTCCTTACCAGATTCTTACTTCCTCTTTATGTCGGGATCGGGGGCAAATTAGAGAGCGGGCGTCGGAGTGGCTCACCTGGCAGTCCAGTCGTCTGTCAAAATGCCCGAGTGAAGGAAAGCTATGGTTCTGCAGCGCGGGGTTTAGATGGGTGGATATTATAGGCGAATTATAGCATCCTCTGGCTGAAAGGAATCTTGAAACCCCTGTACAGACCCGAAAATGATTTGGTTCTCTTTAACACTTACCTTTTGTCGACAGGAAATGTTTTATTAGGAAGATACAGGTGCGCTTGCTTTTTTGCCTTTCCATCTCATGCCATTCTCCACATTTTAGAAACTGCTGGGTTGAGATTGCAGAAATAGACACTTAAAAGATGTTTCCATGTCTAATCATCCCGATTCGTTTCTAGTTAAGTGAGAAACAGTTTTCTTAGTGGCTTTGAGGTCTTGACTTTGAAATGATTCTGAATGAATACCTCTGGGTGCCAAAGAGTAATAGCAGAATGAAAGAAAAGCATTAAGAAACTTCTGAAATACAAGTTCAGTTCTTGTTGCTGCTTGATCAGTTTTATGTTAGAACAAAATATTTCTAGAAGAGAATAACCATGGATAAGATGATTAATGGAAAAGCATTTAACTGCTTCATCCTAGTTATCTTTGGTATAAAATTAATATGGAATGTTCACTAGCAATGTAAGTATTTACATATAAACAAGGATGTTGATTTTAATCTTTTGGTTGAGATAAGGCACAAAGATATTCAGGGAGTATATTCAGGGAAGTTTGCAGCTTGTATTTCAGATAAAAATATATCCATGTATTTATCCTATATAATATTCAGACTATAAATCATTATATTCTAATTAGATATTATTTCTAATTAAATAACATTTCCATTTATACCTTCCATGTAGCAACTCTGAGTTTTTCTGTACTCTACTTTTAAGGATAGATCCTACATGCCACATTACATTTTAGCTGATACAAGATTTTTTTCTTTTTTTGACTATGTATAATCAAATTGTTTCTTTATATCTATAATGAGAAAACTCATGCTGTCATATTTTATTTAAATTATTAATTTACTGCCCATCTCACAGATGTGACTCTGGAGAATTCACATTAAAAAATTAGAAAGGACAATATCAACTAAACATTTTGCTTTCAGAGCAAGAGTTGTAATGTCATGAAACTGATATAGATTATTTTCTGATCTACTAGACCTGCTAGATTTAATGGTAGATTGGAACCAGTAGAATTAGCACAAGTAAAACAGTCCAAAAGTGGCAGTTGTCCAAAACAATTTTTAAAAAATATTGTACTCGTATGTATCTTCTTAGATAACCCACAGTCTCAGTTGTGTGGAAGTCCACATGCAATGGGTAGCTGCTGCACTGCTGAATCCTAAGAATTTTTTCAGAAATTTTTCTATTTAATGAAACATAATGTTCAGTTAGTCACTTTGCAAGTAGTTTTCTGGCATATGTATGGCTTGCTTTGAATTTATTGCCAAACTTTGATTTTTGATCATTGTCATCAAAATGAGCTCTACACAAATGATTCTCAGTAAGGTCCACTCCTCTGATTGAACATTGAAATCTATCTGATGGTTGATCTCAGCTCCCTGTCTTCATGTTAGAGCCTGCTCACTATCTCAGCACCATATCTCCATCTGCCAGACCTTGTTTATATCATCTCTATCTTCCTGTATGCTACAGTAGTCAGCTAGCAGAAGCCCATTCATCATCTCAACCTTAACTTCTCATATGCTCAAAATCTGATTCACAAAAATACATTAGTAGTTAAAAACTAGTGGCGCAGCAGTTAGAGTGCAGTACTGCAGGCCACTTTAGCTGACTGTGTTCAGCAGGTCAGTGGTTCAAATCTCACCGGCTCAAGGTTGACTCAGCCTTCCATCCTTCCGGGGTAGGTAAAATGAGGACCCAGATTGTTGGGGGCAATGTAAATATATATTCATTGCTTACTGGTGTACACCGCTTAGAGAGTGCTTGCACTTAAAGCGGTATATAAGTCTCATAAATAAATAAGTCTCATAAATAAAATTGAAGTGTACATGTTATAAATAAGCAACATGAGAACTAAAATTCATAAAATTGAAAGGTCTCAACAGCAGTTACTGTGAGTCTACATGTGTTATGTTGGACAGAACTATTATGTGGTATTAGCAATGCGAAAACAAAAGTATGATTAGGAAATACAATAGCTTTTCATTAGGCTGGAGAGATGGCTGCTTGCCACCAATGCTTTAGTATTCAAAGATTTGTATTAACAAACATTCTTAACAAGTTTGTGTTAAAAGTTATTTACTAGAACATTGGGTACCTAAAATAATTCAAATGGTAAATAAAATAGAGGCAATAGGAAGGTATATACAAATGCAACTGGAATCATTATCATATGCTCTCATTATCAGATAGACAAAATATAGGTGGAGAATGCTTGTATAATTGAATAAGTCCTGCTTTTTAAACCTTTACTTTTGAGGGTGGGGGGAAAGCCTTCCTCTTTTGAGTTGTGCCAGATTCAGAATGAAGAACTTTAAGTATTTTGCCCTTGCCAGAGAAATCTCTGGCATGTCTCCAGGCTTTATCTTAAGCCTTAACTTCCACACTTCTGCAGGTGATTATCAAACACATTATTGGAAAGCAACTGTGTAACTGAATGGTATATATGTTCTGCTATGTACCTCTGATTTCTTAGGATCTATTAATAGCACTGCTAGATGATCAGAAGCCTCTGTTAGTATCACTACCGTAATCCTATGCAAAGTGTACATAGTAAACTTCATTTAGTTTGTTTTGTCAACAGTCTTTGAAGCAACTCACCTAGTGAACCTGGGAACTTCAACTCCATTAGTTCGGCTGATGTGGTTCAGACTTGTTCAGTCAGGAATGATAAACAACAAACTCAAGTCTGACCTTCTAACTCAACTCTGTATTCCTTTAAGGTCATTTTAGCAAGTGGGCACAACTTATTTGAGAAATCAGAATTTCTTCCTGGTTTTTGCTGGGAACATCCCCCACACTTAATATCCTACTCTGCTTAACCTTGCTCCATTTCTGTCCTTGTAATGTTTGCAGCCAAGATTTCCTCTCCTGCATGCCTTTCTATGGCTTCTTAGCGGGCAAGGGAAATTCTTAGTTCTGCTTTCTCATCTGGATGATTTGGGTGATTTAATTTTTAGTATGATTAACACTTCATAACAAAGGGGAAGTAAGCTTCTTCCTTTTTCAGTTAAACTTGTTTCTTATAGTGGCTTCCTATCTTCTTTCCAGTGAATCTTGAATTAATCATAATTCTGAAATTGTTTTAGAAAATCCATGCCCCTGAGCGGAATCCTGTTCACTAAACTGGATGATTGATAAGGATAGTCACAAAGTGGTCAATTAAATTCTGTTCTTTATTTGAGAAAATGAATTTAGATAAAGCCTTTATCTTATTTTATTAAGCTTCTCTGGGAGTTAGAAAGGCTCATATAACTGCTCAAAGATTATTTACATTTTAGACAAAATATGGCCAAATAATTGTGTTGCGTCCAAAGAAATGATAGTTAAGCAAAAAAAAAAAAAGTGAACCATGAGTGTGTATTAAATATGTGAAGATTGGGCTTTGGAGTAGAATTCTGTCTTGCTAGTTTAGTGATATGATAGAGAGAATGCAAAAATCTTACAAAAGAACTTCAAAGGAATATTGATGCTTCCATTGTTACTTAACTGGTGTAGGCTGTTGCAAATTTGGAAAATAATGCATAATGCAGATTAGATGTTATACTGTAAATACATCTGATCAGGAAGATTAGACTGAAAAAAATTACTTGTTTCAGAAACTAGATATTGTCAGTTTTTTGGTTAAAGAGAAATTTAATTCAAGGCTCCTTTGTCCAAACCCACTAGCAGTTTTTAGTTTGAAAGTTCCAGGACCTTTCATGGTAGTTCACGTGTATAGGTACCTGATTGCTAATGATGTTTAATAATTTAAATCTGATAATTGAAAGAGAAGGCTTTAGCATAATATGTGATAGGGCTCGTCATTTCTTAAACTGCTGACAACATAAACAGGTAGGAACAGCTTTTTCTACAGTAGTTCCAGACTACATCTTGTGAGTTCACTGAAGCATTAACATAATTGGAAGGAGGGAAGCACCATTCCATATTTCTGCACAAAATCTGCCTTTTTAGTAACTACAAAAGAGCCTCTATTTATATTAATTAAGCATCAGGTGCAAAAGCTATGCCTATACCTAGTAGCCTCTAATTTATACATATAGATTGCAAGCTACTTGGAAGAAAAAAATGTTCACTTCTGTTTTCCTGACAAATAAATACTTATTAAGGTATATTTTAAATTTAGATGGATAAAGGGTATGGAGTTTGCATGACTTGAAGCTGAGATTGTCATTTGGCAGAAGCTGTACATCTTTAAAGGAGGTTTTGTTTATAGTAATATAACTGACCTTATCTTGTACAGAGACTCAATGTTTCTGAATTAACTCTAAGTTACTGATTGCTGTTTCCAGTTTCATGGCTTGTTTCCTCACTCTGTTTTTAACATATAAAGGGATACTTCTAGTTTTCATGTTCTTGGTGATTATGTTGTGATTTAAAAATCCAGGAATG